TTTTCCTCTTTATTTAAGCACTGTGGTTTACAGTTCATGATAGATACATTTGTTCCAGGCATCCAATATTCCAACCCCAATCCCACCACCACCGTTTCCTTCGCTCCCACCAGCATTGGCCCCATTCTCCCAACCACTCCTCAAACGTGCCCCGGCTGAAGGCCCACAGTCATTTGTTAATATTGCTTGTTAGATCTAAATGGTCGGGGCTGGAGCGATAGCACAGCGGTAGGGCGTTTGCCTTGCACGCAGCCAACATGGCCATGGCCAACCCGAGTTCGATTCCTCCGCCCCTCTCAGAGAGCCCTGCAAGCAACCGAAGAGTATCTCGCCCGCATGGCAGAGCCTGGCAAGCTACCCGTGATGTATTCGATATGCCAAACACAGTAACAACAAGTCTCACAATGGAGATGTTACTGGGCCCGCTCGAGCAAATCAATGAACAACGGGAGGACAGATCTAAATGGCTCAAGCGGGCCCAGTAATGTCTCCATTGGAGATTTTGTTGTTACTGTGTTTGGCATATCAAATACATCACGGGTGGCTTGCCAGGCAAGAAAAATGCTTCGGGGGCTGGAGCGATAGCACAGCAGGTAGGGCGTTTGCCTTGCACGCAACCGACCCGGGTTCGATTCCCAGCATCCCATATGGTTCCCTGAGCACTTCCAGGAGTAACTCCTGAGTGCAGAGCCAGGAGTAACCCCTGTGCATCGCCAGGTGTGACCCAAAAAGCAAAAAAAAAAAACCCAAAACTTCAGTAAGAGAAAATCTGGGAAAATTGTTACATCTTCCCCTCGGGACATCAGGTCCTTGTCTGAGGGTTGGCTGAGCTGTGGTTGCTAGCGGGGCCTTCTGCAACAATGTTTTTGTTAATCTGGCTCAGTTGTCCTCTCAGTTGCATTCTGGTCCAATCTGGTCTGCGCCTGCCGGGATGTGAGGATCCTAGAGTTTGGAGGTGCTGCTCCAGAAAGTCCCAGGTATTTCCCGGAGCAGTGAGTGTAGGTAGCGGTTGCGGTTGCGGCGGTGGGCTCTCGTGTGGCTGCTGGGAGTATGGGGAGGTTGGGGGGAGGTTGCCCCCCTCTGAGAATGCCCAGAGTTTTCAACTCCCCCCCCCCTCTAAAAACACCCGGATGTACCTGAAGTTGTTGGCAGTCCGGCATCTGGGAGCTCAGTTGTGAGGTGGTGGAGTCTGGCCGTTTGCATGGGGCAGATTTTAGGGCGGGAGCCTGGCGGCCGGGTCTCCAGCAGGGTGGGACTTGGCCCACCCCCTGCAAGGTCGCCCTGGTGCTCTCAGCTCGGGACCGTGAATCTGAGAAATTTTTGCAGCCAGTTGATCTCTGGAGGTTTGGTCACGAGTCTGGGAGCTGCTCAGCCCTTGTCAGTGGAGTTGTCCGGGCAGGCTCCCAGGGGTGGGCGGGAGGGTCCTGCCAGCTGCGCCGGGAGGTCAGGCATCGGCGAGTGCAGGCACCCTGGGCTTTTGTAACAGGTGTCTCCTTCACAACTGTTTTCAGTGACCACATAGGGCGGGAGCAAGAGCACAGCCGGGAGGGCGTATGCCTTGTGCGCATCGACCCGGGTTCGATCCCCAGCACCCTTAGGGTCCCCTGAGCCCACCAGGAGTGACCCCAGAGCACAGAGCCAGGACTCAGTCCTGAGCACCTCAGAGTGTGGCCACAGCTAACTCTGCAGCAGCGCCCTGCTCCCAGGACAGAGGGCAAGGCCACGGGGACATTGGCCTGGCATTGGCCAGGCTGGGGGGCAGCAGTGCCCGGCAGCTCCTTCCACACAGGGGGTCCTGTGGGCCATGTGTGCACATGTGTATGTGCATGTGCGTGTTTGCATGTTGTGTATATGTGTGTGCATGTGTGTATACACATGTGTGCGTGTCCATGCTTGTGTGCGCGGGTGCTTGGTGCAGGGAGCATGTTTTCCCGACTCTGGCGCGTCACCGTGGGTTTGACCTTCCCTGTTCTCCGCAGGCTTTGGGAGGTGACTTGCAGGAAGCAAGGTTCCCTGTGGTCGCGTGTCGGTTCCGGCCGTCTCAGGGAGCGCTGTGCTTTCAGATCTGGCCCCAGAAAAAAAACCTGCAGGTTCTTTTTCTGACTTTTGTGAGCTACATTCGTCGGTGCTCAGTGCTTGCTCCTGGTTCTGTGCTCAGATCATATGTGGGGGCTGGGGCTCAAACCCTGTGGACCGTGTGCCAGGCAAACGCCCTCACCCTCCCTCTTAGGCGCCCCCTCGGGTGCTTTGCGTGGGGAGCTGCTGGGAGCCGTGGGCGGTGTGTGTGTTGGGGGCGCCCTTATCTCTGCGTGCCTGCTGGCTGCGGGCCTGGGCAGATGTGTGTGTTCGTGCTGGGTGGGTGGTGCCAACAGTGCTCCTGTCACTCCCCTGCCACCCTTGCAGGGAGCTGCCGACTGCTCTGCCCCCCTTCCTCCAGGATGGCCGTGAGCTGCCCACGGGAGATGGGAGGGGGTCTGCGGGAGGCGGGCTGCCAGGGTCTCATCGTGGCCCCCACCCCCGAGCCTTTGCGGCGTTTGAGTCTGCTGTGCCCTCTCGTATGCAGTGCCCGTTCCTCTCCACTCCTGTCACTCAGGCACGTGTCCTTGCAGGGTTTGGCCTGGAGCCCAGGTACTGATGCGAGCTGGGCTCTTCACACACACACCCCCCACCCCTGCCGGCCCCGATGCCCGTCCTTTGGGAAGAGGGTTCGCTGGGGCTAGGGGCAGCGGCACTTGCCTGTGCCAGGCCTGGGCTTGATCCCTGGAACTGCAAAACAGAAAGTGATGGAGTGGCCTCAGGAGATGGCTGGCTGAGACTGTCTGACCCTCAGCACCGCCTGCTTCCCTGAGCGGCCCCGGTACCTCCCCAGGAGCAGGCCTGGAGCGCCGGGCCCACAAACAGAAGAGAAACAAAAGAGAGAGATGTGCAGAAGTTGTTCAAGTATTCTGGGTGCAGCGCCTTGGTGGGATCAGCCAGCGCAGCAGCTTCTGCCATAGCAGTGACCTTCCCCACATGACATCTCCTTTAGGGGGAGGAGGGTCCCCGCCTGTGCTCAGGGCTAACTCCTGGCTCTGGGCCCTGAGGTCACTTTTGGTGAATCTCAGGGGACTCTGTGTGGTGCTGGGGATCGAACCCGGCTCAGCAACGCCTTTACTGCCGTTCCCTCCTTCGGCTCTCTAGTGACGTCTCCTCGCGAGACCCCCTCCGCTGTGAGGTGGTCCAGCCTTCAGCATGTTCAGTGCGGCTGTTGGGAGGCCGCTCCCCGTCGGTGCCAGTTGCTTTATCACTTGCCCCTTATGGGGAGCTTTTTTTTTTCTTTAAATGATGTGGGGCGGCACACCCCACATTCCTGGGGCTGCTGGGCCCTGGTGGTATCAGATGCCAGCCCCCAGGCCCCCCCCATGCCAGGCCTGTGCTCTCCCACTCTCCACCGCCGGGGCCCTTGGTGGGTGCTTTGCGTCCTGTTTAAGAGTTTATTATTATTTTTTTTTAGTTGGTTGGTCTTAGGGTTTACTCCTGGCTCTGTACTCACCAGTCACTCCTGGAGGGGCTCGGGAGACCGGGTGGGATGCTGGGGATCCATCCCAGGTCAGCCTTGTACAAGGCAAGCGCCTACTCATATGCAGCCGAGCCGGGTTCCGCCATGGGCACTGCCTGTGGGCAACCCCGATCACCACCACGGGTCAGTCCTTGGGGTGCTGGGCCAAGGGGTTGAACCCAGGGCTTCTGTACACCGGACATGTGCTCCAGTGCCGTGCCTGCTGCCAGGGTCCCTCACATACAGCAGAGAGTAGCAGCTGTGTGGTCTCCCGCTCACTGTGTGGGTCCCCGTGCAGCTGGCCCACCGCGTGGGGCTTCCCCTCCCGTCGGTAGCTGGTATTTGCACATCTGGCCTGTTCTGAGTAAGACTACTCTGAATACTCAAACCCCAACTTTTGTGGTTAATTTCCCTTTTTTGGGTGGGGGGTTCACACCTGGTAATGCTCAGGGGTTACTCCTGGCTCTTCACTCAGGAATTATTCTTGGCAGTGCTTGGGGGCCCCTTAGAGGATGCTGGGAATCGAACCCGGGTTGGTCATGTGCAAGGCAAATGCCCTACCTGTTGTGCTATATCGCTCCAGCCCTGGTTTAGTTTCTCCTGGGAGAAACCTTTGGCTCTTCATTCCAGGTGCCTCTCTGCAATCGTGTTAATATTAGTGCTTCAGGGCCGCTCCCTTACTGTGTCTCACCCCGCCAGAGTGCCAGGCCTTCCACACACTCTCGGTCTCTTCCCGTCACCCCCCACCCACAGACCCAGCTGTTGAGGTGGATTCTCAGGGTCTCTGAGACCGTTGGCAACTAGCAGACCCATTGTTCTGTGTGTGTGTGTGGGGGGGAACATGGAGAGTTGGGGGGTCCTCCAGGTGCTGCTCAGGTGGCCTGGGGTCCCCTCCCAGTGATTCCTTTTTTCCTTTTTTTAAAATTTTTGGGGCCATAGCAATGCTCAGGACTCATTCCTGGCTCCACACCCAGGGGTCAGTCCTGGCAGTGCTCGAGGGGACCACATGGGATGCCGGGCATCAAACCTGGGTCTGCTGCGTGCAAGGCAAGTGGCCCGACTGGCCGTGCTGTCGCTCGGGCCTCTCCTTCCAGTGGTCCTCACGCCCCCAGGCTCGTGGTTCCGGGCCTGGAGGATGCGGTGCTGCTCGGACCATCCCAGGCCGGGATTCCCCATGTCCCTGTGGGGCTCAGCATTGAACCAGGGCCGCCACATGCTTTTGCTCTGTGCTGTATGGGTGTGTGTCTCAGACCCCCTTTGAGGTCAAGAGGGGCAGATGGGAATACGGCCCCTTTGGTCCCATCCGAACCTCAGTTCCCCCTTTTCCTGCTGGCTGACATTCAGGAGGGGTGGGGGGCGCGCTGTGTGTGTGGATTGTGGCTCAGCCAGGGAAAAGGCTGGGGGTCGGGCTGCCCCCTGACCCCACATGACCGCAGACTCACTCTCCTCCTCCATGGCGCAGGCCCCGGCACCCCCATGATCCTGTGAGTGCGGGACTCGCCATTGCCCCTGGGGGCCCCCCCCACCGTGGAGTGACCTCCCCCAGCCCTCTCCAAGATGGCGTCCGACACCCCTGAGTCCCTGATGGCCCTCTGCACCGACTTCTGCCTGCGGAACCTGGACGGCACCCTGGGCTGCCTGCTGGACAAGGGCACCCTGCGGCTGCGCCCTGACATCTTCCTGCCCAGCGAGATCTGTGACCGGCTCGTCAATGAGTGAGCAGGGGCCAAGCATGCGTGTGTCTGTGCACTCGTGTGTGTGTGTGTGTGCACACATGTATGTGCATGTGCATATGTGTGCGTGTATGTGTTTGTGTATATCTCAGTGTGCGTGTGTGTGTATCTGAGTGCATGTGTGTTTGCGTGTGGGTGTGTATCTGAATGTGCATGTGTGTTTGTGTATGTGTGTGTGTGTGGCCACGAGCACATGCCATTGGTGAGTAAGGATACCTACAGACTCACCCCCAGAGCCACATTCAGAGTGGACTACATCCCTTCTAGGGACTGCTCATGCAGAGAGGCTTCTAGAACTTGATCCGCAGGCCCAGTCTTGGAGTTTGGTCTGCATGCCCAGAGGGGGGTTGGGAGAGTGAGGCCAGAGCACCTCTGGGAGAGCATGTGAGGCTTTCATGGTTGGGGGGTGCTTGAGTCAGGCCCGTGCCACGAGGGACATTCAGGTGCTCAGTGCTGAAAGGCCAGGCCCGGAGCTGTAACACAGCGAGGAGGGCACTTGTCTTACACACGGCCTACCGGGGTTCGATCCCTGTTACCCCAGATGGTCCCCGAGCCCACTAGGCGTGATCCCTGAGCACAGCGTCAGGCGAGACCCTTCCCAAACCCCAGACTGTAGAATGGGTCCTCTTTGAGCTGCTGGCCTGCAGGCTTGGTTGAGTGCTTGCCCCCACCCCACCGGGACCCCAAACTCCACAGCTTCCTGCATTCCCACTTTGGAAGGTGCTGGGAGAGGGGAGGAGGGAACCAGCAGTTGCCAGAGGACAGGAGTGTGCGCACTGGGGGTGGGGGGAGTCCTGGGAGGGTGTCTTGGGGGCGGCAGGCATGTGCGTTTGTGAAAGTGTCTGCGGGGCTGGGATAGAGGAGGTGCCCTCAGGATTTGCTGCTCACCACATCCCCTGAGCTGGGCCCTCTCCCCCCCTATCCCCTCAGGTACGTGGAGCTGGTCAACGCCGCCTGCAGCTTCGAGCCTCACGAGAGCTTCTTCAGCCTCTTCTCCGACCCCCGCAGCACCCGCCTGAGCCGCCTGCACCTGCGGGAGGACCTGGTGCAGGACCAGGACCTGGAGGCCATCCGCAAGCAGGTGAGCGGGGCCGGCCTCCCCTCAGCCCACCCCCCCACCCCCCGCCGTGGGCAGTGCCGGTGCTGACCTGACCGCCCGGTGCGGGCGCCTCCCCAGGACCTGGTGGAGCTGTACCTGACCAACTGCGAGAAGCTGTCGGCCAAGAGCCTGCAGACGCTGCGGAGCTTCGGGCCCACGCTCGTGTCCCTGAGCCTCTATGGCTGCGCCAACATCTTCTACGAGGAGGAGAACCCAGGGGGCTGCGAGGACGAGTGTCTGGTGAACCCCACCTGCCAGGTGCTGGTCAAGGACTTCACCTTTGAGGGCTTCAGCCGCCTGCGCTTCCTCAACCTGGGCCGCATGACCGACGGCGTGCCCGTGGAGCCCCTGCTGCGGCCACTGCGTGCGCTGGCCGCCCTGGACCTGTCGGGCATCCAGACGAGCGACGCAGCCTTCCTGACCCAGTGGCAGGACAGCCTGGTGTCCCTCGTGCTCTACAACATGGACCTGTCGGACGATCACATCCGTGTCATTGTCCAGCTGCACAAGCTGCGGTGAGCAGCGCCTGGCCGCCAGCGTCCCGCACGGCTGCCGGGGGAGGCGGGGGGCTGGGGGTCTCCTCCAGCCCTGGCGGCCAGGGCTGGGCCCGTTCCCCGCCCCCGTGGTCTCCTGCACCCCTTGGGCCTAGCCCTGGCGGCCCCCAGGCAGAGGTAGATGTCTGGTGTATTTGTTTTGTTTGGAGGCTGCACCCAGTGGGACTCAGGGGCCACTCCTGGCAGTGCTGGGGGGGCCCTCGGGAGTGCCAGGGATCGAACCCAGGTAGGTTGTGGGCAAGGCAAGACCCCACCTGCTGTACTATCGCTCCAGCCCCCACTCCCAAAAAGGATCTGGATCCGGAGGTTTCTTTTCCCCAGAATATCCTGCAGTGGGGATGACAGGGGGTTCTTGCCAGCCCTGATCCAAGGGGTTTAGGGTCTCCCCACCCCGATTCAAGGGTTCCAGGGTGTCCCAGCCGTGATCCAAGGGGGTCAGTGTCTCCCGGTCCCGATCTGAGGGGGTCAGGGTCTTCCAGCCCCAATCTTAGAGAATTGGGGTCTCCCAGCCCCAATCTGAGGGGGCCGAGATGTCCCAGGCCCCTGGGGCTGCACCCAGCTCCTAACCTGGTGCAACCCCCCTCCCCCCAGACACCTGGACATCTCCCGAGACCGTCTCTCCAGCTACTACAAGTTCAAGCTGACTCGCAAAGTGCTGAGCCTGTTCGTGCAGAAGCTTGGGGACCTCATATCACTGGACATCTCTGGCCACATGATCCTGGAGAACTGCAGCATCTCCAAGATGGACGAGGAGGGAGGGCAGACCAGGTGGGGGCGGCTCTGGGAGGTGCCCTAGGCCTGGGAGGAAGGTGCCCCCTCCCGCCCCCATCTGTGTTTGCCAGAGGAGAGGCCTGGCAGGGGTCGCAGGGGTGGGAGGGGTGCTCTGGAGTGGCTGAGACCTTGCCAGGTGCCCGGATGGGCCAGAGCCCAGTCCTAAGGCCACAGGGGGGCTGCAGTGCCCACCTCTAGGCGTAAGGAGATGTGATGCTAGCACCTCCAGCGTCATTGCAGGACGGTCAGGGTCTGCCTGGTCACCTGTCCCGGACAGTCTGGCCCAGTGCTGGCTGCAGCAGCATCTCTGGTTCCTTTTTTGTTTTGTTTTGTTTTGTTTTGGGGCCACACCTGGCAGTACTCGGGATTTACTCCTGGCTCTGTGCTTAGGGGTCATTCTTGGTGGGCTCAGGGGACTATAGTTGGATGCTGGGATTGAACCTGAGTCTGCTGTGTGCAGGGAAAAAGCCCTTCCTGCTGTCCCACCACCCCGGCCCCTGCCTCATCTCTTGTTCCACACCTTCCTGAGCAGGCCTTTGCTTCCTTCCCCGGGAGGCCGACTGTCCCCTACCCTCGGACAGAAACCAGAGAGACTGGACAGGGGTTTGTGAGAGAGCATGTGCCTGGCAGGTGGGAGGCCTTGTGTTTCGTCCCGGTGCTCATGGCCTCCAAGCTGCTCCAGACCTGAGCACAGGGCCCTTGGGCCTATACTACAGGGCTGAACATCAGTAGGAAGAGCCACGGGGCCCCCACGCCACCGAACGTCACTGAAAAAAAGTGAAAAGGCCAGAGAGGGCGGGCTAGGGCTTGCCTCGCGAGGCAGTCGGTCCTGGTTCAAACCCTGCTCTGAGCAGCAGTGGGTGGGGGCCAGGGGATCAGAGGGCTTTGCCTGGGGTTTGATCTCCAGTGACACACTGACCCCCCAAGCAAGCCAGGGACAGTCCCCCGAACTTGGCTGCACGTCCCCAGGCACCAGCCAGTGTGGCCCAAAGGAGGAGGAAGAGGCTCGAAGTGTAGAAGCAGGGCCCGGGACTGTCCCCAGCGAGGCCCCGTGCGGAAAGGGTGTCCGAGCGCCCGCTGACCTGAGTCTGCCCCCCGCCCCCCCCAGCACGGAACCATCCAAGAGCAGCATCGCCCCCTTCCGGGCTCTCAAGAGGCCGCTGCAGTTCCTGGGGCTCTTCGAGACCTCCCTGTGCCGCCTCACGCACATCCCGGCCTACAAGGTGAGGGGGCGGGCGGGTCGGCCTGGGCACCCCCCTCTCCCCGCCCCCACGCCCTCCCGGGCTGCCGAGCACCCGCTGTCCGTCCGCAGGTGAGTGGGGACAAAAACGAGGAGCAGGTGCTGAACGCCATCGAGGCCTACACGGAGCACCGGCCCGAGATCACCTCGCGGGCCATCAACCTGCTCTTCGACATCGCGCGCATCGAGCGCTGCACCCAGCTGCTGCGGGCCCTGAAGGTGGGTGCCCGAGTCCCGGCCCCGCCCCTACATCGCAGGCCACGCCCCTACATATCAGGCCACGCCCCCTCTGCCCTGCCGCTCGGCTAGGGATCTGGTTCCGCCCTTTCTGACCCACCCCATCCCTTGCCCAGTGTACCTGCAGGCCCTTTCTGGCCCCGCCCCTCCTGGAGTCTCTCCTCAAAACCCCGCCCCTCCTCCCTGCCCCTCCATGTCCCAGCGCACCTGCAGGCTCTCCTGACCTCACCCCTACAGGCTCTGTCCATTCGGGCCACGCCCCCTAAGGCCCCACCCCTCCCCAATGCACCTGCAGGCTTCTCCTCGGCACCGTTCTGGTCCTGCCCCTCCTGACCCCACCCACGAAGACCCCGCCCCTTAAGGCCTCTCCTGGCCCCGCCCCTCCGGGCTCCGCCCCTCCAGACTCCTCTCCCGCCCCTCCCCCAGGCACCTACCTGCCTAGCAGGCTTCTGACCCGTCCCCCAGTCTGAACCCACCTGACCATAGAGCCCCAGGCCCGACCCTGCCCAGAGCGACTTGCCCATCTGGCCTCCCGCCCTGTCTTTCTGCAGCTGGTCATCACGGCCCTCAAGTGCCACAAGTACGACAAGAACATCCAGGTGACGGGCAGTGCGGCCCTCTTCTACCTGACCAACTCGGAGTACCGCTCGGAGCAGAGCGTCAGGCTGCGGCGGCAGGTCATCCAGGTGGTGCTGAATGGCATGGAGTCCTACCAGGAGGTGACGGTGAGCCCCCGCCCACTAGGGCCGCCCCCGCCCCGCCCCCCGCATGCCCCTGCTCACCCTTCCTCACCTGCTGACCGCCCCATCCCCACCTGTGCACCCCCCTGCTCACTCACAGCTGCTGGGACCTGGCCTGGCGCCCACAGCTGCCTTTCCCCCAGCACCTGGTCTCGGCACTGATTCTCCCCGCGCTGAGCACTCAGCCTTCTGCCCAGTAGCTGTGCTTTGGGGCTGGTTTTCAGGCACTGCTTGCATTCTAAAAAGCGGCTGAGTTTTGCCATTGGGGCTGGGCCTGGAGCTCAGCAGTAGACCCGGGTTCCATCCCCCGCACCAAGAGCTAGAGAGGAGAGGTGCCATATCCTCCTCCAGAGTGTCTAGCATCTTCGGGGTGTCTGTGCTCCAGGTTGGGTTTCGTGCCTGTGTCTTTGGTGAATGAGATTGGATCGTGACTACTGTTTCTGTAACAAGGATTTTTATTTCAACGGTGTCCAGTGTGTGTAGACCTCATATCTAACCAACGGTGTTAGAACAGAATCTTAAGAATATTGTTTCCTTCTGATTGCAAAGGAGGACGCTTGAGCTGGAGAGATAATCCAGTGGGCTCTTGGCTGTCTATGAAACCAGCTGGGGCTCAGTCCCCAGCACCACAGACAGTCCCCAGACCATCACCTGGAGTGACCCCTGAGCACAGAGCCCGGAGTAAGCCCTGAGCAATGCAAGGTCTATCCCAGTTCCCCACCCTCTCCCCCACAGAAAACCAAGATGCTGAGGTAGGCCGGAGAGAGAGCTCAGAGAGCTGAACACTCGCTTTGCATGTGAAGGGCCCAGGTTTGATCCCCGGCATCGCCTGGTTCCTGAGCACTGGGGGGCAACCCCAGGCACCAAGCCAGGAGATGTTTCTGAGCATCGCTGGGTATGGCCCCCTAACAAAAACACAGAGGAGGAGTCTGGGTACTGCAGAGCCAGGAGCAAGCCCTGAGCGGCACTGGGTATGGCTGTAAAAAGCGGAGAAGAGACAGAGCAAGGAAGGGAGCAGCTCCGGTGGATGGAGGTCCCAGGTTTCATCTCTAGCTCAGGAAGCAAAATGCGAAAGGCTTAGTCAGCTAACAAACACAAGAAACCCAGACCTTCTGCTGCTCCTCCAAGATGGACTCTGGCCACTCTGGAGCTGAGAGTTGGTGTCACACACACACAAACACACACGGTGGGGTGTCTCTCTCTCTCACACACACACACACACACACACACATGGTGGGGAGCAGACCTGGGCTCCCATTTGCAGGGGCTGCAGTGGGCGAGCTAAACCAGCCCTGCTGGTTTAGCTCAAAATCACAGGAAATCAGATGGCTTTGAGGTTCTGGGCCTGGGCAAGTCATGGATGGTCTCCCCGAAGTGGTTCAGATGCAACTTGTCTGTCCTAGGTGGACACATGGCCATTGCATGCCGAGACTCCAGGAGGTATCTGGGTCACTGTGGATTATTTCCTTTTTGTCCTCTTTCTCCAAATATTGATATTTGTTTTGCCTCATCAAAACTCCAAAGGTGATCAGTTCTGGGCAATGAAATAGGTACATGAACCTTCCTGCTAAGAGAGTCTTGTTTGCACTTTTACAGTGAGTTTATATTGCTTTTTTAAAATTTAGTATTTATGAAGTTGTTCACGATAATTTGTTACATTTAATATTCCAACATCAGTTCCACCACCACTACAACTGCCCGCCGCTATATTTTGAATGCATTCAACCTAACCCCCAAACCCTGCCACCAAAGCAGAAACTAAAAAATGTATTTTTTATTGCTTATGTATAATTCACTAAAAATGATTCCAAAAGTTTTCTTAGAGGAAAGTGTGTGGAGACTGTCGTATCTCTCCCTAGAGCCAGTAAGCCCTTGTATAAAAGATTACCAACAAACGTCGTGTGCCACTCTCCAGGAATTCTAAAATTTGGATGGTGACTTTAAGGTCCAGAGGCATCTCTGTGACATATCGTTCTATGTTGCTCTCTTCCGAGAACTGTATTAGAGTCTCTGGATCATGACCGTTAAAATGAGCTTAGATGGCACCAGAGGCAGTTCTTGGGCATGACTGCCAGGCTACTGGAAGCACAGGGAGATGGCAGATCACCCATTCCCGACCGTGCGATACCGGAGATTTCAGTCACACATACCTGGATTTTTCTTAAGATTCACTCATGGATGAGGCTGTCCAAGCCTGTGGAAAGCAGCCGTGAGCATGGCAGCACTTGAGTTCTGGTGCTTGTGTTTGCTGAATAAGCTCTGAGTTCTGCCAGGGCTCGGCTGGGGTAGGGAGGGGAACTCACCTGCCCCCCTCCCCCCGGGTTTCCCTGGGTGAGACAGCCTGGCACAGGGTCTGGAGGTATCTCGGTGACGTATCTCGTATTGCTTTTGTCACTGAAATTTTTTACCCAAAATGAAAACATATATGGGGCCAGAGAGATAGTACAGCAGATAAGGTGTTTGCTTTGCACACAACTTACCCAGGTTCGATCCCTGGCACCCCATATGATCTCCTGAGCACTGCAAGGAGTGATCCCTGATTGCAGAGCCAGGAGTAGCCCCTGAGCATCACCAGGTGTGTGTGTGGGGGGTGCAGGGGGAAACCTGTTTATTCCATAAAGCTGGGGGAACCAAGCCATAACCAGCAGTGGTAGCTTCTCATTTCCATGATTAGTAAATAAATGATTTTCCACGTCTGTGAGAAAGGATAGAGTGAAACTACACAGCAGAAAAATACATCGAGGGGCCAGATCGATAGCACAGTAGGTAGAATGTTCTCCTTGCAAGCAGCCAACCTAGGTTTCCAGCATCCCATATGGTCCCCCGGCACTGCCAAGAGTAATTCCTGAGCAACACACTGGGTGTGACCTAAAAAAAAACACACCGAGAAAACTGTTAAACTTAAAAATTGTTCCCGGGGGTGCTGTAGCAATAGCACAGAGGGTAGGGCGTTTGCCTTGCACACGGCCAACCCGGATTCGATTCCCAGCGTCCCATATGGTCCCCTGAGTACCGCCAGGGGTAATTCCTGAGTGCAGAGCCAGAAGTGACCCCTGTGCATCTCCGGGTATGATCCAAAAAGCAAAATAAAATTGTCCCCAGGGCCAGGGAGAAGGGTTCAGAGGGTTTTGCATTCGCTTTGCAGGTGGGAGAGTTTGCTCCCTGACACTGCTGGTCTAAGAGTGTCTGGGTGTGACCCAAAAGCCAGAGAAGGAAAGCGTCAGCAGTGCAGGGGAGTTAGGCTGTGGGTGTACAGGTCTCTTCCTGACCTTCAGGGTCAGTGGACGCTGCCCCGAGAGAGGCCCCTCCGCGTGCAGGGACAGCAGGTGTGCACCCACGAGGGTGTTGGGTGGTTCCGAGTGGTGGACACCACATCCACCCAGCGGCATGCACGCGGCCGTCCTGCCCTGCAGTGAGCCCCTGAGTGCTCCCTGGACCCTGTGGGCCCGGAGCAGGAAGCCCATGGGGCACTCCGGAGTGCCTGCCTGCCTGCCTGTCTCCTCCCCTCTTTCTCTGTTTCATTTATTTTTGGCTTGGGGGCCACGCCTGGCTCTGCACTCAGGGATTCCTCCTGGTGGGGCTCAGGGACCCTATGGGATGCCGGGATCAAACCCAGCCCCCCGCCCCTGACAAGGCCAGCTGCTCACCTGTTGCCTGTCGCTGCGGCTGCTCCCTTCCTTGGGCCAGGTGGCACCCGGACCTTAGCACGTGCCAGACAAGTGCTCTGCCCCTGGCTCGCGTCCTGGCTGGGTGGTGGCGAAGTGCAAGCCCCCTGCTTTGCGATGGTTGGAGAAGCGCTGTCTTTCCTGAGTGAATGCCACTTTCACCCCGTCTCATTTATTTACTTTGATGCCGAGTGGTGAGGGGCAAATAAAGCTGTGTGCTTTTCTATTTTTTTTTGTGTGTGTTTTGAAAACTAAGAAGCTTTGTAGTCTCCTCCTCCAGAAAGCTTTCCTGGATTTCCGCAGCTCTGACCACTCTCAGGCCTCTAGAAAGCCCTACCCGGCTCTGCGGGGTGCCCTGACCCGGCTGCGCTTGCCTCCTGTCCCGGCCCAGGTCCAGCGGAACTGCTGCCTCACCCTGTGCAACTTCAGCATCCCCGAGGAGCTGGAGTTCCAGTACCGCCGCGTCAACGAACTCCTGCTCAGCATCCTCAACCCCACGCGGCAGGACGAGTCCATCCAGCGCATCGCCGTGCACCTGTGCAATGCCCTGGTCTGCCAGGTGGACAACGACCACAAGGAGGCTGTGGGCAAGATGGGCTTTGTGGTGGTGCGTGCATCCTGGCCCCACTTCCCTGCCGCCCTGCTCCCCGCCCTGCGCAGGTCTCCTGGGGGTCTGGGGGTGGGAAAGGGCTGCGAGATTCAGGCTGGACCCCGGGAAGGACTCCAGGATGGTGCCCGCAGCCGCTCCTGCCCCCAGTCCCTTCCGATCACCCTCTCCCTGCCCACACCCACTCCCACGGCCCAGGTGCCCCCATCATGACCTCCTAGCAGGATTCAGAAAGTATCTCAGGGGGCAGAGAGACGGCCCAGTCGGCTAGCGCCGTGGCCAGTTTGCATATGAGAGGCCAGGGTTCAGTCCCTGGCACCGCCTGGTCACTCATCATCATAATGAGTGACCCCCAGCACCAAGTGAGGAGTAACTCCCAGAGTATGGCTGGGTGTGACCCCAAAATATAAAGAAATAGGAGCAGGAAGTGGGGAGGGCACTTGCTCTGCATGCCTGAGGCCCTGTGCTGAATTCTAGCATCACACAGTCTCCTGGGCATCACCAAGTGTCCCAACACAAATGACAGGAATAGGTACCACAGGAGCTCACTTAGGGATCTAGCCTGTGCCACATGCGACCCCGAGGCCAGGTCCCGCCACCCCCAAGGGAAAGGCCAGGCCTGCACCTCATGCCATAGGAAACCACAATGCACACACACACCTGCACGCACACAAGCGTGCAGCTAACACTGGCCCGAGGAAGCCGGAAGGGCCCGCAGGACCCGAACAGCCAGGTCTGGCTCCCCCTCTCCCCGCACCCTCCGTGGCTGGGGAGGCTGAGCCCCCTGTCCTGGCCAGGACAGGACTGCCCCAGTCTCCTGCTGAGAGGGTCTTCAGACTCCCAGTCCCCTCCCAAGTAAGCTAGTGGCCTTGTCGTGGATGGGTGGGGGACCAGGACTTCCACCCCTGATTCTCCTCTCCGTCCTGGCTCTTGGGTGGGGGGCATGGAGCTCTCAAGCTCGCCCCCACAAAGGCCTCTTCTCTGCCCACAGACCATGCTGAAACTGATTCAGAAGAAGCTGCTGGATAAGATCGTAAGTGGAGGGTAGAGAGCTGGAGCCCATGCTGTGTATGTAGGAGCCCCAAGTTCAGTCCCCAGCCCTGCATCGTCCCATGAACCCCAGTAGCCGTGACCTCCAAGCCCTGAGTTGGGAGTAGCCGCTGAGGACGACAGGTTTGACCCAAAACTCTGAAAAACAGGGCTGGAGAGAGAGCACCGTGGGCAGGGTGTTTGCCTTGCACACAACTCAAGCAAAACACAGTAAGCTGAGCGACTGGAGTGATAGCGCCAAGGACCCGAGCACATCCTTGCATGTGGGAGCCCCAGGTTCCATCCCTAGCAACACACAGTCCCCTGGGTGCCAACAGGAGTGACCTCAGACAGAAACATGGCCGGCGAGGCAGTATAGCAGGCTAGACGCTTGCTTTGTGCAGGATCAACCTGGGTTTGATCCTCAGCACCACGTATGAGCCCTCTGTACTGGCAACTGGGCACAGAACCGGGAGAGATCGCCAGGCACAGAGCCAAGAGAGATCCCCGGGCACAGAGCCGCGAGAGATTCCCAGGGAGAGTCAGGAGAGATCCCTGGGCACAGCTGGGTGTAGCCAAAAGGATTAAATTGCTTCTTTCGGGAGCTCTGGGTGGGTGGACGGACGGGGCGTCCCTCCGCAGACTCAGGAGAGGCTCACCCGGGAGCGATGCTACTGAGCCCTCCCGCCTCTCCCAGTGTGACCAGGTGATGGAGTTCTCTTGGAGCGCCCTCTGGAACATCACAGACGAGACCCCCGACAATTGCGAGATGTTCCTCAATTTCAATGGCATGAAGCTCTTCCTGGACTGCCTGAAGGTAGCCCCGCCCCACCCTCCCATCGACCACGCCCACAACTAGACGAGGCCCCTCCCTGTCCACGCCCACTCATGGCCACGCCCCTCCGAGGCAGCTTCCCCGCTGCACCCCTTTCTCATCCTGCTCTAGGCTTCCCTGCCCTGTTGCTGTGGTCAGTCCCATCTGCACCCAGCTCTGGGCCTAGCGCCACGGGGCGCTGATCCCTGTGCCAGGGGCCCTCCGTTGGCGTGGCTAGCGGGCCCTGAAATCCCGTTCCAGGAGTTCCCAGACAAGCAGGAGCTGCACCGGAACATGCTGGGTCTCCTGGGCAACGTGGCGGAGGTGCGGGAGCTGCGGCCCCAGCTCATGACGTCACAGTTCATCGGGGTCTTCAGGTTGGTGCTGCTCCCCGCCGGTGCCTGGTTTGGGTTCCGCGGATGGAACCCGGGGCCTCCCACGTGCCTTCCCCCGCCACCCAGGCCACCAGGGTACTCAGAGCTCCCAAGTCTGTGCCGCAACACAGCCGCTGCCCGTGCCTAGGTGCCTGTTCTGTTTCCTTTTAGGGCCCGGCCCGGCGGTGCTCAGGACCACTCCCCGCGAGGCTTGGGGGACCGAGCGGTGCTGGGGATCACACCTAGGGCTTCTGCGTGTAGAGTATGCATGCTCCAGCCTTTGCAGCCTAGGCTTCTTTTTATCAGTGTTGCCTTTCCGGGACCAGGGAGAGAGGTCCGCTGTCAGGGGCTTTGTGTGATTCTAGTGCCTGCCCAAGCACTATAGGTTCATCCAGGGAGACCCCTGACCCCTCTTGGACGGCCCTGTTAGACCCTCACACGTAGGCACTGGGCAGGTCTGTGTCCTTGGGCCTCTTGTGTTGTGTTTTGGGGCCACACTGGGCAGTACCCAGGGCTTACTTCTGACTCTGTGCTCGGGGCTCTCTCCTGGTGGGCTCAGGAACTAGAATGGAGTGCCTGAGATTGAACCCAGGTCAACCGCATGCAAATCAAGAGCCCTTAACCGGTATATGTATACTGCCTACAGGGCCCATCCTTGGACCTCCTTATTTCCATCCTCCATAAACAGCTCCTTTATAATCGCACCCCTTTTGGTAGGTTTGATTTAGGTTTTTTTCCTTTTTGGGGGGGGGGAGTGAGGGGCTTTTTGGTATACCCACAATACTCGGGTTACTCCTGGCTCTGTACTTATGAATCAGTACTGATGGTGCTTGGGAGACCATATGGGATGCTGGGGTTTGAACCTGGGTCAGCCACATGCAAAGCAAGTGCCCTACCTGCTGGACTCTCACTCGAGTCCTGGTTTGATTTAGCTTCAAGGCTGATGATGCTCTGAGGCTGCTCCCTGCTTGGTGCTCAGGGATCGTTCCCAGGGTGATATGGTCAGTCTTACAGGGTTCAAACCCAAGTTCTCATGTGCAAAGCAGCCTCTAGATCTTGGAATTATCTCCTGACCCTGGATTCTTTTATTTTTAAAGACTTTTTTGTTTTTGTTTGGGGGTCACCCCCAGTGGTGCTCAGGGGTTCCTCCTGGCTCTGCACTCAGGAATCACTCCTGGAAGTGCTTGAGGGAACGTAGGGGATGCCGGGGATTGAATTCAGGTCAGCAGTGTTTAAGGCAAACGCCCTCCCCACTGTGCTATTGCTCTTGCCCCTTTTATTTTTATTTTTTGGTTTTGAAGCCACACCTGGCAGTGCTTAGGGCTTACTCCAGGCTCTGTGCTCAGGGATGATTCCTGGTGAGCTCGGAGGACCGTATGTGGTGCCAGGGACCGAACCCTGGTCGGCAGCATGCAAGGCAAGCGCCTTACCAACTGTACTGTCTCTCAGGCCTCCCTGGGTCTCTCTGGTTTGTTGGTTTGTTTTTGTTCGGGGGCCACAATTGTTGGTGCCCAGGGATTACTCCTGGTTCTGCACCAGGGATCACGCCTGCTGGCTTGGGGGACCTGTGGGGCGCCGGGGATCAAACCTGGGTCGGCTGCGTACACGCAACAGCCCTCTGCGCCGCAGTGTTCCCTGGCCCCAGATCTCTCTCTGCACGTGCTCTGCAGCTTGGGTCACAGCCGTGGCCTGCTGGCCCCTCCTTCAGGTGACCTGGCTCTTTTGCGCTGGTCCCTTGGGCGCGGGTGACCATGGAGGAAAGCGCGGCCCCTCCTCCTCCGGTTTGTAGGGTGGCGCCTGGCAGCTGGCAGCTGAGAGGGGTTTGGAGACTCGGGCCCTATCGTTTTCCTCTCCTTGGCAGCAACCTGCTGGAGAGCAAGGCCGACGGGATCGAGGTGTCCTACAACGCCTGCGGGGTCCTGTCCCACATCATGTTCGACGGGCCCGAGGCCTGGGAGATCTGCGAGCCGCAGCGCGAGGAGGTGGAGGAGCGCATGTGGGCGGCCATCCAGAGCTGGGACATCAACTCGCGGAGGAATATCAATTACCGGTACAGCCCCTCGCGCCCGCGAGCACCCCCCTCCCCCACATCCCCCCTCCCACTGCAGGTGGCCTGCCGGAGACTTAACATCTGGGGCCACCACCCTGTGGCCGCACATGCCAGCCTCAGGCCTCGGGCAGGGCTGGGGGATTTGGCTTTAAGGCTAAACCTCCCGAGGGGCCCCTCCCTGCCAAAGCCCCCAGTTTCTGCAACCCCCCCCCATCCCTCCCTCTTGACGCTCCCACTTCCATGCCCTGGGCTGTATCCCCTTGTCCCTGCACCCTGCTGGCCAGCTCACGCCTGGGGTTGGACCTGGGGCAAGGAGATGGACCCCACGCCCCCTCCCCCCCATGCTCCACCCCTGCCCAGAACGTGACCTTGACTTCTCCACCCACAGGTCCTTTGAGCCCATCCTGCGCCTCCTCCCGCAGGGCATCTCGCCTGTGAGCCAGCACTGGGCCACCTGGGCGCTCTACAACCTCGTGTCTGTCTACCGTGAGTGCCACCCTCAGGGGGCCTGTGGAGCCCCGGGGAGCCAGGCAGGGGCAGAGCAGGGTCTGTGCCCTGGGGCCCAGGTGGCTTGGGCGCATGGGCTGCCCGCAGATAGGCGGGCCCTGCCTCCCAGCACCCAGATAGCTGGGCAGGATGCCCGGTTTGTATTCTGACCACCCTGGTGGCGCTCAGACACCCCAGGGCCACCCCAGGCAGTACGGGGAGCCAGAATCTAACCCAGGGCCTGCCACGCATGACCCATGCTCTGCCACACGAGCCACGGCCCCTGGCTCAAGACGCTTCCTGCTCCATCAGAGCGAGTCTCTGCATGGCAGTCCCAGCAGCTCCAGAGAGAACATTCCAGCAGCTCCCAGCCATTTCCTCGGGACCCCTCTGCAGAGGGCCACATACTCAGCTGCGCCCCTCTTTTTCTCTAAATTAATTCCTTCCAGGTGTTAGTGGGGGTGTTGGTGGGGTGACGGTAACACCCACCTTGTGTGAGAGCCGTGGAGAGAGAGAACGAGCCCTGAGCCCCGCCCCACTGACTGCTGGTCTTTCTCGAGGAAGTTTCTGAGCCTGGTGTCTGGGATGTAGGCTGCCTGGAGCCGTGTCCCATCCCTGGCGTCCCTCCCCCTCACAGTGCATCAGTGCCCTCAGCTTTAAAGTGGACACATTGGCTGGAGCGATAGCACAGCGGGGAGGGCATTTACCTTGCACATGTCTGACCCTGGTTCAATCCCCAGCATCCCATATGGTCCCCCAAGCACCGCCAGGAGTAATTCCTGAGTGCAGAGCCAGGAGTAAGCCTCAAGCATTGCCGGGTGTGGCCCCAAAGCCAAAAAACTATGAAAATTTGAAAAAAAGAAATGGGCTCATAGCAGCACTGACCTCGGGTCAGGGGGAATGAGACCCATGCTCAGAGCAGTTACTGCCTCTCCCTAGCTCAGCAGCTTCCCCCCTCCCTGCCCGCCTGACCCGGGCCTGGAACCTCCAGGGGCCCCGAGCGCTTCCTCAGATAAGCCGGGCCTGGCCGGCAGCAGCCAAATCCCTGCTCGGAGCTCACTGCTCCCACCCATGAAGTGGGGACCATCAGGGCACGGGAAGGCCCATGTTCCAGATGCTGCACATGGGCCTGGCCTGGGTGTGGCGCTGGGTTCAGTTCCGGCACAGAGAGAGAGAGGAGAGAGGACAGGACAGACAGATCAAAGAAAGGAAAGCAAGGGGACAGAGCAATAGAACGGCAGGGAGCATGTTTGCCCTGCACATGGCTGACCCGGGTGCAATCCCCAGCATCCCCGAGGGTCCCCTAAACACCAACAGGAGTGACCCCTGAGCGTGCACCCACGAGGAAGCCCTGAGCATCGCTGAGTGTGGCCCCCACAGAAAACACAAACCAAAAAAGAAAGAAGGAAAGGAGGGCTGGAGTGATAACACAGCAGGTAGGGCATTTTTCTTGCACACGGCCAACCCAGGTTCAATCCCAGCATCCCATAGGGTCCCCTGAGCACCGCCAGGGATAATTCCTGAGTGCAGAGCCAGGAGTAACCCCTGTGCATCATCACCAGGTATGACCCAAAAAGCACATACACACACAAAAAAAAGGAAAGGCGAAGAGAGGGAAGGAAAAAGGAGTGGAGAGAAAAGATGGGAAGGGGAAGAGGAGGGGTGGATAGGAGAGGGAAGGGAGTCGGAGAGGCCTTTGTTCTGTGGAGTCGCTCTTGCCGGCATGGGGACGTGCTTCAGTGACACCCGGGCATGAAGCCACCCAGCCGGAGAGCCATGCGCTTCTGGTTCGTCACAGGAACCACCTGGTGTGTTTCTTTTTAATCTAACTCAATTTTTATAGAGTCGTTCACGGTGATTTATTACATGCATTACTCCAACACCCATCCCACCACCATTACACCTTCCCGGGTCAGTCACGTACAGGGAGACACGCTCCCTGCTGTCCTTTCGCTCCGGCCCCTCTTCCTTTTCTTTGCTAAAACTACAGTGAGGGGCCAGAGTGACATTACAGCGGGCAGGGCGCTGGCCTTGCACACCTACAACCCACGGTCAGTTCCCAACACCCCATGTGATCTCCCGAGCACCGAGCCCGGGGTGAGCCCTGAGCGCCACTGGGTGTGGCCCCCGAACAAAAGCAGGTGCAGGGCCAGAGAGTCAGCACGGGGGTCGGAAGGAGGCCTGGCTTCCGTCTCCAGCTCCACCCGGGCTCCGAGCACCTCTGGGAGTAACCCCCGAGCACTGCTGGCTGTGTCCCTCCAAACTAACTACAAACAAGGCCGGAGATACGGCTCAGTGGTCTGCGCTGAGATAGCACAGCCAGGAGGCACGTGGCTGACTCGGGTTCGATCCCCAGCATCCCACATGGTCCCCTGAGCACCGGCAGGAGTGATTCCTGAGTGCAGAGCCAGGAGGGACCCCTGAACATCGCCGGGTATGGCGCCAGAACACAAGTAAAACTAGCCTAATGGGGGCCAGGGCAGTAGTCCAGTGGGTGGGACGCTGGCCTTGCATGCGGCTGACCCAGGTTTGATCCCTGGCACCCAGTGGTTCCCTGAGCCCCGAAGCAGTGATCCCTGAGTGCAGAGCCAGGAGTAAGCCCTGAGTACTGCTGAGTGTGTCTCCCCTCAAAAATAAATCCATATGAATACAGCCTCTGGGTCTGTGAGTCAGAGTAGCCAAGGGTGCGCTTAGGATTTGGGGGTCTTGCAGGGGTTCCTGGTTTGAGGGCTCCTGGGTTACTTCAAGAAGTGCTCAGGCTCCTGCAGGCAGAAAACCTGCGCCAGCCCCCATGGGCGCCTCCCACCTGCCCTATGCTGGCTCCAGGCACTGCACACGGACCTCGCATGCCATGCGCTCTGCCCCAGGAACCTGCATTCTGACTCTGTTTGGTTTGCGGGCTCAGGGTTTACTCCTGGGTCGGCAGTCAGGGATCACTCTTGGTAGGGCTTTGAGGCCTATAGGGGTGTCAGGGAGCAAACCCAGGTCAACCCCGTGCAAGGCAAGTGCCCTCCCTGAGGTCGTCTCCAGTCCTGGGAATCTGCATTTTGAAGGAATCCCCCAGAGAGAATTACTGCCGCCTTCAGAGGCCACGTGTTGGGACGATACTTTCCATAGCCGAGGGTGGGTGAAGCGGCAGAGACCTTTCCTGGTGCTCACCCCAGGGGCCCCAGCCCAGCCTCTCTGGTTGGTCCATCTGGGTTAGCGCTGGGGAGCCTGGTTCCCACCTGCCCTGATCAGCGCCCTGTGTCCTGCTCCACAGCGGACAAGTACTGCCCCCTGCTGGTCAAGGAATGCGGCCTACCCCTGCTCAGGGACGTGATCAAGATGAGCACGGCGCGGCCAGAGACCAAGGAGATGGCCCGGTAAGCACCTACCCTGAATGGGGGTCTGGGGGGATGAGGGGGTGAGGATGGACCGTGCTCCTCCGACAGCAGCCCACCCCCCCACCTCCCCGACAGCTGGTGCCACCCTCGGGGTCCTTTTGGCCGCGGCGGGCCCTGACGCTCAGTCCAAGTTCCCAGGCCGGCCCAGCCCTGGGCTGTGGTGCTCACACGCACGCCACCTCCATGCTGGCCGGGGCACGGGTCTCCACACATTGGGAGAGGCCTGGAGACACAGCAGTGCTTGGGGACAGACCCCAGGGTCCCACCTGCACAGCCCGCACCCCGCACACGCCCTTACTTGGGACCGGACGCAGAGCACAGAGCTGCCAGGGTCGCCCTGGGCTGTGTCTGCACCCCATGGCCGTCCTCGCTCCTTCCCAGCGCACCCCTTCTCTCCTCTGGGGGATGAGCAGTGATGCCCAAGCTGGGAAGGGCCGCAGGAGGCTCTGCGTGAGCCACGGGGCAGACGGAGCCAGAGCTGGGCTGGGGTCAGCCCCTGCCATGCGGCTGTGCCAACCCTCTTTGCTCTGGATCCCGTTCTGGAAGGCACGTAGGTAAAGGTGGCCCCTTCCCGGCACAGCGAGGGAAGCCGCAGCTCCCGGCCCGGCCCAGCACTGAGCTTTCCTTTCTGTCAGTGTTTGGGCCACCCAGAGAGTGCTCGGCCTGCTCCCAGCTCTGTGCTCGGGAGTGGCCCCTGGCGGTGCGTGGGGGACCATGTGGCTCAGAAGAGTGCCTCCCCAAAGTGACTCAGCCAGGGGCCAGAGTGATAGGACGTCCAGCAGGGAGGTGGCCTTGCACACAGGCAACCCAGGTTTGATCCCCGACACCCCCGTATGTCCCTGCAGCCACCAGGAGTGATCCTTGAGCACAGAACCAGGAGTAAACCATGAACACCACTGAGGTGGCCCACACCAAAATAAATTTTTTAAGATTTTTAAATAAAGTGGGGAGGGGGGAGGGCTGGAGCGATAGTACAGCCTGTAAGGCATTTGCCTTGCACGCAGTCGACCCGGGTTCGAGTCCCAGCATCCCAGAGGGTGCCCTGAGCGCAGAGCCAGGAAGAACCCCTGAGCATCTCCGGGTGTGACCCAAAAAAGAAAGTAGGCCCGCTGGGCCGGTGGCTCCGAGGGAGAGAGCCCCTCACAGGAAGGAGGCGCTGGACATGCTCCCTGAAACCTTCCAGAAACTGTGCAGACCACGGTCTGAGCACCCGTTTGGGGCGGATCATCGCGGAAGAGGGCCTCAGGCTGGCGCCTCCGCTGCCACTTGGAGCCTCGTGCCAGAGGCCGCCTGTCTGCAGGGGTGCGCGGGGATACCTGCTGTGGCCCTCCTGCCCCATCGGGCCTTGGAAGGCCAAGCCAACCCACATGAATGCTGCTGGCAGCAGCCCCCGCCCCCATGGACAGGGTGGGGCCTTCATCCCCCGCCCCTCACCTGCCCGCTCAGCCCTGCTGTCCAGTCGGGGTCACTCAGCACCACAATGGACGTCCCCTGCCCCCCGGGGACATCCACTAGTAGACTCAGAAAGGAAGAAGTCGGGGAGGGCGAGGCGGGAATATGTCACACTCAAGAAAGGCCCTGGAAGGTCCCGAGGTCCCCGGCGGGGGCGGGGAAGGGGAGCAGGCAGGGACCCTGATCACCGGGGCAGGGCTGAGGCAGGCGGGTGGCGTCAGGAGCTAGGGCCCAGCGCCAGCCGCCCTCCAACCCTGTCCTCGTCCCCAGCAAGGTGACGGAGCACTGCAGCAACTTCCAGGAGGAGAGCATGGACACTTCCAGATAGAGGGTCTGCCCCGGCCCCCCCGCTGGCCACCACGGCGCTGCCCCAGACCAGGGACACAGGGGACTTTGCACAACTGACGCTTTTCTTTAACTTTAGTGAGATATATATATATTATATATATATTATTTTTTTTTGTTAGGAAGTGTGAAGTTTTGTGTGTACGAATTCTGTACAAAAAAAACAAAAAACAAAAAAAAAAAAAACAAACGTGACATTCCCTGAGTCCTCGCAGCTTCCTCGGCTTCGCTCCAGCCCGACTTAAGCCTTCGTCACTGCCTCACGCCCCTTCCCTCCCCACTAATGCCTGGAACCTCGTGCGTGCGGGCCCCTCCCATCACCCAGCCACCTCCCAGGAGCACCCCCCACCCCCACGATACTCCCCAGACCCGTGGGGGGGGCAGGGCGGCTGAGGGGGTGTAGCGGTGAGAACGACCCCCCCAGGGGGCAGGATCGTGAGGGGTGTGGGCAGCACAGCCCTGAGGCTCTTGGAGTGGGGCTCGGGCCCACCGGCCAGGCCTGCCTGAGGCCATGCTGCTACGGAGGCCACTGACCAGTCTCCCCCGGCCCCAGGCAGTGGCCGGCCCCTGCCCAGCACAGGCCAGAACCAACAGCTCCACACTCTGTCCTGTCCACTAGCCCCAGCCGGCTGACACCAGGAGTCACGCCTTCTGGGGTGGGGGGCCCCGCTCGTCCCCCACCAGCTCTTCTTCCACAGCACCCAGGGTGCCCACCAGCAGTTCGCCTCACTCTCCCCGCTCCTTCCTGGCTTCTAGGGGGCAGGGGCGGCACTAGCAGGCTGACGCCCCCCCCCCCAGACCAGCACTGGTCACAGCTGACCCCTCCCACCCCAGCCCCCTCGTTCTGGCCTTGTCCTTGGCTTGACCTAGGGGGGGCCTGCCTGGGTGGTGTTTGGGTGAAGCCTGATTTGCGGATGCTTCTAGAAGGCTCCCGTGAGCCTCTCCGGACGGACGTCCGACATGCTGCCCATGGACAGTGGGGAAGAGCAGCCCCCAGAATAGCCCTGGGGTGCGGGGGGGGAGCGGTGACTCCCCGCTCCCCCCCTTCTCCAGGACCTTCTAACGTCTCTGCCTTGGGGCCGGGTTAGCCCAACTGAGAGGCCCTGGGCCTGGTCCCAGTGTCCCTCCCCACCCACATCCCCACCAAGCAAGTGGACGCCTCTGTCCTCCCTGCGGGCTCCGCCCACAGCCAGCCCCGGGCAGAGCTCACGCCACCTCGCTTTGCGACCCGGAGTCGGGTAAATGTCTGTACTTTGCGATGTCACAGAAATACATTTTTGTGTAAAGTGCAGAGGAGCCGAGTGTGTTTCTTGCGGCAGGGAGGGAGGGGGTGTCGTTCTCCGGGCATGGGCCGCGGGGCCCAGGTGACCTGCTCCCTCGTGCCTTGCAGGTGGCACCGCGCGGTAGCTCTGCCCGGTGGTCAGGCAGAAGCTCCGGAAGTCCAGCACCCACCAGTACAGCAGCCTGAGACTGGAATGCAGAGACGGGGTGCGGGTGGGGGAGACCCTCGGGTGGGGCCCGGGGATTGAGGATGCGAGTTCATGGTCTCCCCAACAGCCAGAGGGGAAAGCCTCCAGCTGCGCCTGGCTTGTGCTCCAGGCCACCAAGCTCCAGCCCTCCTGCTGCCCCCAGTGTGGTGTGGCCCTGGGGATCTGGCCGAGCATCATCTCGGGGATGCCAACAGAGGGTCCCTGCTGGGCCCCGTCTTGTTCTGCTGTAGCTAGTGACAGGGCCAGGAGGCGCCTCTGAGGCTCCCCAGCCGGGCTCCATGTAGGGATATTAGGGATATTCCCACTGGGCTGGGTGACTGGTCACGCCGACCCTCTCCACTCGGCACAGGGGTCCCTCCCCGACAGGCCCGCAGCAGCAGCAGCAGCAGCAGCTCAAGGCCACGCTGCCCTCCCAAGTGCCACCTGAGAAAGATCCAAGTGGTTGGGAGAATGGAGGACCCCCACCCAGCACCTTCTCTGGAAGGGGCTGATGGCGAGCCTCCCCCATCTTTGTAGGGCTTCTGTCTGCCGCAACTCAAGCATCTTTCTCAACCTGAAAATGGCTTTGAAATAGGCCCATGAGGGGCCAGAGCGATAGTACAATGGGGAACGTGTTAGCCTTACATGCAGCCAACCCTGGTTCAATCCCTGGCATCCCATATGGTCCCCCGAGCACCGCCAGGAGTAACTTTTTTTTTTTGTAGGAGTACTGCTATTTATTCAGCCACTGATTAGCTGATTGAATTGTGCATGAACACCTTACTTTTTTTTTCCATTTTTTATAATTTTATTTATTGAATCACCGTGAGAGCAGTTACAAAGCTTTTGGGTCTAAGTCTCAGTCATACAATGAAACACCCGTACCTTCACCAGTGCCGATTCTCCACCACCAAAAATCCCAGTATACCCCCTCCCACACCCTCCCCCTGCCTGTGGGGCAGATGATTTCCACATTACTCTCTCTCCACTTTGATCGTCGATTTGCTCGAGCGGGCCCAGTAACGTCTCCATTGGAGACTTTGTTGTTACTGTGTCTGGCATATCGAATACTCTCGGTAGCTTGCCGGGCTCTCCGAGAGGGGCGGAGGAATTGAACTCGGGTCGGCCATGTTGGCCGCTTGTAAGGCGAACGCCCTACCCGCTGTGCTATCGCTCCAGCCCAATTTGATCACATTCACTATTTCGACACCAGACCCACCATTATTTGAGATTTTACCCCAACACTCAGATCTGCTGAAAAGGCAACAATAGACAATTTGTGTTCTATTGCTGGTTATGAATAACATATATATGATGTCGTGTGGCTGCAGTAGGGCCATGTGGTTTTGAAATTCCGAAATTTTAACACTTAAATCTGGAGGGATTTCTGCCAAAAGCCACTGGGTTTAGAAATCTGCTCCTGAGTCTCTGGGATCATGGCCGTTGAGCAGCTTGATGAGGAGCCAGAGAGGCCGTTCGTGGGTCTCGTTGGGGTGGGGAGGACAGGCCCGGCTCCCCCCCCCCCCCCATCCCGTGAGGCCCAACAAGTTTCGTCACTGCGGGCCCAAGCCTGACTGTCCAATGGCCTCTGGAGGATGACAGCCACCAAGTCGCCAAGAAGGAGCAGGCGGAGGGACAGCACCCATTCCCCCCTGGGGTGGCCCAGCGACAGTAACCTACTGCGGGGTCCGGACACATTTCTGCCAAAAGCCGCTGGGTTTCGAGATTTGTTTCTGAGTCTCTGGGATCATGGCCATTAAGCAGCTTGATCAGGAGCCAGAGAGGCCATTTGTGGGCGATTGTTGGGGTCTTGTTGGGGTGGGGAAGACAGGCCCGGCTCCACCCCCATCCCGTGAGGCCCTGTGTGTCTCGTCACTGGGGGCCCAAATGTGACTATCCAGTGGCCTCAGACGGATGGCGGCCACTAGGCCGCCGGGGGAACAGGCCAAGGCACGAAACCTATTCCCACCTGGGTTGGCCCAGCACCAGTAACCTACTGCAGAGACCAGACACATTTCTACCTAAAGCCACTGAGTTCTGAGATTCGTTTCTGAGTCTCTGGGATCATGTCCATTAAGCAGTTCAATCAGGAACCAAAGAGGCCTTGCCTCCAATTATATAGCTGAGCCGGAGGTGGTTTGTGGGTGTGTTTCCCACATACCTAACTTTTGGCCGTTTACTTTCTTGGTAAACTTTGCCCCAAGTTTTTGGGGTCTGGCCAAAGGCACAGCAGCAATTTTGGGGTATCTGGAAGTCTGAAGGCTCCATGAGGCTGCTGATGCACTCGCCTCACAGGTACAGATTGACCTGCTGGCGGCACCATACCCCCACCAGAAGTAACTCTTGAGTGCAGAGTTACGCAGGGTATGATCCCAAAAGCAAAGAAAAAAAAATAATTAAATTTAAAAAATAGGACGAGCCTACAGCAGGTAGGATGCTGGCCTTGCATGTGGCCCATCCGTGATCCCTGGCACCCGGCACATCATATGGTCACCTTGAGCCTGCCAGGAGTAAGCCCTGACCACTACCAGGTGTGACTTTAAAAAATATATATATCAGAAAGGACAGACTTCTGTCTCCAAGTCTGAAGGGAAGACAGACTTTGGGGGCTGGAGAGATAGCTCCAAGGGCTGGAGCATTTGTTTTTTGATATGTTTTTGTTTGGGGGGGCTATGCCCGGCAATACTCAGAGATGATTCCTTGTCTCTGCCCTCAGGAATTACTCTGGCAGAATTCGAGGGACCATATGGGATGCCGGGGATTGAACCTGGGTCAGCCATGTGCAAAGCAAAAACCCTCCTGGCTGTCCTATTGCTGCAGCCCCTGAAGCTTGTTTTGTATTCAGGAGTCCGGGTTCAGTCCCTAGCACCTGCATAAAAAAGTGGATGAGGCGGGGCGGGGATTCAAACTTCATAGTTACTGCCAGCTAGCAGCCGTGTGGCCTAACTGGCACTTGAGGTGACCACTCTCATTTTTCTTTCCAAGTCTGTTCAACCCCTGCATTTCCCCCTCTCCCGTCTACGCCCTTGAAACCACCCGGTCTGTCTGATACACACACACACTCACATAAATATGAGTATAATATAAATATGTTTTGTGGACAACTATTGGTGCTTGGAGAACACTCCCAGCTCAGTTCCCAGGGATCGAATCCAGGCCTCCAAGTGCTCATTTTGGGCGAACTCCCTGCCTCCTGCAGTGAGTCACCGAGTACCATCTGGCCTTTCTCCTCAGTCCCATAACTGGGACCCGAACTTTATCTTTAACATCGGTACCATGACTCACAGAAGTTTCTGGATTTCTTTCTTTCACACGCGGTGCTCAGGGTCTACTCCTGGCTCTGCACTCCTGGTGGTCAGAATCACTCCCTATGCTCCTGCCCCAGATGCTGTTACTTAAGCCCCCCAACTCCCCTAGGGCTCCTGCCCCAGATGCTGTTACTTAAGCCCCCCAACTCACCTAGGGCAGGAGGGTTTTTTTGTTTTCGTGGGGGGGGGGTTGTTTTTCAGGCCACACTGGGTGGTGCGCAGAGTGCACCCCTGGCGCTGTGCTCACAGGTGGCGGGCCACGTGCGAGACACGTGCTCCCTGCTGTCCGATGATGGGCTCGGGCCCATTTCGGGAGCGCCCGATCAGTTCCACGACGGAGCGAAAGCAGCGTGGCCGGCCACCTGCGCGAGCGCACACGGAAGCAAGGCGGGGCTGTTGCTGCTCCCCGCTAGGCTGGGCCCCACGGCCCTTCCCTTAACGGCAAGCGCTGGAAAGGTGCCCCGCGGCGCCGCCCGGGCCCTCTCGGGGGGGTCCCCGAACTCTGCACGGAGCCGCCACCTCCGACACCCCAGAGCCCGGCTCCCGAGAGGCGCGCGCATGCGCGGGGCGGGGCGGGGCGGGGGCTCTGCGAACTTACCTGGAGGGGCGGGGCGGGCTGGGGGCGGGGCCCAGCGGCTGCGCGCGCGCCGGCCCCGCCCCCAACCTTCCAGGCACCTGTTGGCTCCAGGGCCTCCTCGGCCGCAGCTGCCACCCAATAGAAAGCCTCTCCGGACCCATCCGGCCCCGCCCGCCTCGCGTGTCGGCCAATCCTGGGCCGGACGCGGCGCCTCGCGCTCGGAGGACCCGCCCCTCCGGGCCCTTCTTCCGGGTGGGGCCCCGGGCCGCGGCGATGGCGCCCTGGGCGCTCCTCAGCCCGGGGGTCCTGGTGCGGACCGGGCACACTATGCTGACCTGGGGCATCACGCTGGTGCTCTTCCTGCATGATACCGGTGAGCCGGGCCCCCGCGCAACCCCGGACCCGCCCGATCCCGCGCGCTTCCCCCACGTCGGGGTCTCGCTGGTGCCCCCCGGCGCCCTGACATCCTGACCTGCAGCCCGTCGCCCACGGCTCCCGGACACGCCCGCTCCCCGGCGGCAGTGCCGTGGGCCACCTGCTCGCCACCGAGTACCCAGCTGGTCCCCCCGATGAAGCATAGCAGCTTCCCGGTCCCCGCTAGCACCCGGTGACAGCCCGAACCCGTCACCCGCACCCCGAGAGCCGCCGGACCCTGTCCTCCTTAGGAGTCCGAGGGTCCCGTAGGGGAAAGCCTGCCCACCCCCACGTTCCCGTTCCCGGCCGGCCCCCAGCGCCGCCCTCCGACCTTCCCGCTTCACTGCTGCGTCCAGGACAAGTTCTTTGCTTAACATAAAACCAGAAGGGCTTGGCGGGGGCTGCTGCCTCTGGTGCTGGGCCGTGGGGTCGCAGGGATGCACCTGGCTGGACCTGTTGCGTGCCAAGCCGCTGCTGCTCAGCCGTCCAGCAGCTTCTCCCCCGCCCTCCCCAAGACCTCACCCCTGCCTCCCAGAACTGGAGTGGTCCGTCTCCCTTTCCTCCCAAGATGTCAGGCCGCTGCCATCAGCCTCAGCCCTGAAACGCCCCTCTGCACTGTCCAGCCCTGCTCACCCACCCTCCTCTGTCTGTCCCGCGGACATCTCAGATCACCTTGTGGCTGCTAGTCCAGGCCCCTTCCTGCTCCTAGCTGACCTCTCTTCCTCTCACGCTTTCCCGGCCACTCTCTGTGGTCAATCCTGCACCCCCCAACACACACCCCGCCCGCCCCCATAGGCCTCTCTCAGCCACTTTTTCTTTTTTCCTTTTTGGGTCACACCCGGCAATGCACAGGGTTTACTCCTGGCTCTGCGCTCAGGAATTACACCTGGCGGTGCTCAGGGGACCATGTGGGATGCTGGGAATCGAACCCGAGTCGGCCGTGTGCAAGGCAAACGCCCTACCCGCTGTGCTATCGCTCCAGCCCCACTCAGACACTTTTTATCGCCAGTGGGGAAAAGGGCTTTTTGGACCTGCGGGAGGGGAGGGGGTGAGGGGAGGGGTGGGAGGCACACACCCTTGTACCCTGCTGCACTCAGGCCTCCCTGCGCTCTCCCTCTGCAGCCCTGCGCCGGTGGGAGGAGCAGGGTAAGCTGTTGTTGCCACTCACGTTCCTGCTGCTGGTCCAGGGCTCCCTGCTGCTCTACCTGGCTGTGTCACTCATGGACCCAGGCTACGTGAGCATCCAGCCCCAGCCCCAGGTAACAGAGACCCACAGTGGCTGGCAAAAGCCACACAGCCTGGCTGCGTGCGGGGGCCCTCTGTCCCACCTCACCCACCCCCAGAGCTAAGCAGCCCCTCACAGTGTTGGGGGTGGTTGGAGGGGCCAGTGAGGACTCTGGGATGAGTCAGTCCCTGCTTCCTGCTTTGGTCAGGATGTCACAAAAAGGCCTTCAGGGGAGACGGTGAAGTCGTTTTATTTATGTATTTATTTATGTTTTGCTTTTTGGGTCACACCCGGTGATGCACAGAGGTTCCTCCTGGCTCTGCACTCAGGAATTACCCCTGGCGGTGCTCAGGAGACTATATGGGATCCTGGGAATCGAACCCGGGTCAGCTGCATGCAAGGCAAACGCCCTACCCACTGTGCTATTGCCCCAGCCCCAAGTCGTTTTATTTATAAGGGAATAGGAGAGAATCCCCAAAGGGAAGTCATTCCCTCCCAGGAGGGCACAGGCGCCCCTGAGGAGACGGGTGCACCAGAGCTGGGGTGGGGGTGACCCCGAAAAGGAGCTCCCCAAGCTGTTTTGAGACCTGCTATTGCGGGGTGGCGCATTGAGTTTGCCACACCCAGCAGTACTCAGGTGCTACTACTGATGGTGCTCGGGAGCCCCTGTGGGATGCCGGGGGTTGAACCCAGGTCAGCCATGTGCAAGGCAAAGGCCGACTGCGTGCTCTGGCCCCAGAGCTGACTGCGGGGGTGGGGGGCAGGGAACACCATGGGTTTTGAGGTCATTCCCAGCAGTGCTCAGGGGCTACTCCTGGCTGGTTCTGTGCTCAGGAATGATCCCTGGAGGTGCTTGGGGGACCTTCTGGGGTGCCAGAGTGTGACCCCTTTGTGCAAGGCAAGTGTCTTGGCGTTCTCTGAGCTCTCCTGGAGCTGATTTCACAGGCTGCTCCCCCCCAACCCCGTTCTTAGGAGGATGTCAAGAAGAAAAACTTTTGTTTAATTATTATTATTATTTTTTGCTTTTTGGGTTACACCCGGCGATGCACAGGGGTTACTCCTGGCTGTGCACTCAGGAGTTACTCCTGGCAGTGCTCAGGGGACCCTATGGGATGTTGGGAATCGAACCCGAGTCAGCCGCGTGCAAGGCAAACGCCCTACCAGCTGTGCTATCTCTTCAGCCCCAAGAAGGAAAACTTTTATTAGTCTTGGGGCTTTCTTTGTCCCCCGCCTCCCCACTCCTGACAGCCACCAATCTCCAGATGGGGAGATGCCCTGAGCGGGCAGTGGGGGACTCCTTTGTCAGGACAGATCTCTGCTCTCCCAGCACTCCTGGGTGGTCTTAGGGCCTCCCTCTCGCTGTTCCCACTCTTGCAGGACTTGGCAGCCAAGGAGGAGCCGCTGGTCAAGGCCCCTCACGTCTTTCCTGTCCGCCGTTGCCGCTTCTGCCTGGTGCTGGTGGGTTCGGGGATACTGGGGTCCCTGCACCCCATCCTGGGCTGGTGGGGGGAAGCCCACTGGGGGATGTGAGAGAACCGGCGTCAGCCCCGATTCCCAACGTGCTGCAGCCGCCCCTGCGGGCCCGCCACTGCCGTGAGTGTGGCCGCTGCGTGCGGCGCTTCGACCACCACTGCCCGTGGCTGGAGAACTGCGTGGGCGAACGCAACCACCCGCTCTTCGTGGCCTACCTGGCGCTGCAGCTGCTGGTGCTCCTCTGGGGCGTCTACCTGGCATGGTGGGTGCCGCCTGGCCCAGGGCAGGGCGGGGCGGGGCCGCGCAGAGGCGGGACCCTCTCCCCGTCTTGTCCCTGTCCCTGTCCCGCCCGCAGGTCCGGCCTCCACTTCTTCCAGCCCTGGGGACAGTGGCTCCGCGCCAGCGGGCTCCTGCTGGCCACCTTCCTGCTGCTGTCGCTCTTCTCGGCGGTGGCCGCGCTGCTCCTGGGCTCCCACCTCTACCTAGTGGCCAGCAACACGACCACCTGGGAGTTCATCTCCGCCCACCGCATCGCCTACCTCCGCCAGCGCCCCGGGAACCCCTTCGACCGCGGCCTGGCCCGCAACCTCGCCCACTTCTGCGGGTGGCCCTCGGCGTCCTGGGAGAGCCTGTGGGCCGAGGCCGAGGCCGAGGCCGGCAGCCAAGCCGTGTAGGGGCCCCCCACCCCCCACTGGGCCCACCCAGGCCCCTGTGCCGAGGGGAAGGGCATGACCTTGGGGGGGACAACTGGGGTACGGATGCTGCCCCCCTGCCCAAGCCAGGCTGCCTCAGACAGAGTTTTATAAATTTAAATTTAATAATCCGCAAAGCACGTCCAGTATCAAAACCAGAAACCGGGGCCTGGTGGGGTGGGCTCGTGACCCCCCTCCCATGGACCATCGGGGGGTGGGGGTGGGGGTGGGGCGCTCAGGACTCTAAGAACTTCTCGGACACAAAGTCGAAGTCCCGGAAGGCAGCCTGCTGGTGGGCACTGAGCGGGCTGCGGCCGTCGGGCGGCGTCAGGGCAGGGGGCAGACTCGTGAACTCGTCCTCGAAGTAGCGCAGGTCAGTGGGGCTACGGAGGGTAGGCACGAAGGGTGGCCGGACGCTGCGGGCCAGGAGGGCCTGCCAGTCGGTGGCCTGGGGGCAGAGACAGAGAAAGGTGGGGGGGGGCGTGAGGCCACAGCAGGGAAGGGCGGCCCATGGGGGGGGGGCCCGCAGTGCCCGCTTGGCCCACGCGGCTCACCCTGAAGAAAGGCTGGCTTTGGATTTCCTCCGCATCCCGCTCGCCTGCACCCAGCCGCTTCTCAGGGCACTTCTGGAGAAGCTAGAGGGGACCGTGGGGGGTGGGATGGGGTCACACACAGGCTCCCTCAGGCTCAGTGGCTCACCCCCCCCAAACCACGGGCAGCCCGGCTCCCCCACACACCTTCAGAATGAGCTCCAGGCTCTGTGCCGACAGGAAGTGGGGGCGCGGGACCTCCTCGTTGACGATGCTGTCGAACACCTCTTCCTCCGTGTCCCCTGGGAAGGGGCACTGCGGGGGGCGGGGGCTCAGTAGGGGGCCAGCGTCGTCCTCCCCAGCCCCCCACCTGCAGCCCAGGGTGGGCCTCACCTCGCCCACCAGCATCTCGTAGAGCAGCACGCCCAGCCCCCACCAGTCCACGGTCCGTGTGTAGGCGTCCTGCGTCAGCACCTCGGGGGCCAGGAACTCCGGGGTGCCGCAGAAGGTGCTGGTCCGGTCCCCGAAGCCGATTCCTGCAAGAGGACAGCCCCCCGGGGCTACCAGGAGTCCTGGCCGAGCCAGCTCCAGGCCTGGCGGGGAAGCCGCGTCCGTCCCACCAGGATCCAGGCCGAGGCAGAGGGGACCCGCGGGAGGTCCTTGGGCAGGGAGGGACGTGTCCTCTTGCCCCGTTGGCTACAGGATGGGGGGACAGTGCGGGGGTGGGAGGAGTGTTGGAAGAGGGGTGACAGCACATTGGACACACCTTCCTTGCAGAGCCCGAAGTCCGCGATCTTCAGGAAGCCCTGGGCGTCCAGCAGAAGGTTATCCAGCTTCAGGTCCCTGCGGGTCAGGGGCAGCCCCTGAGTCTGGCAGATGCCCACCCGGGCATGGCAGTGGCCCGCCTCCACCACTGCCCCCACCCCCAGCTCCTCAGGGCCACACCTGTAGATGATCTTCTTCTCATGCAAGAACTGCAGCCCCAGCACCACGCAGGCCAGGTAGAATCTGGAGGGGAAGGGAGTGTCAGGCTCAGTGCCTGTTTCCTCATGCCTGTTTCTCGAGACTTGGGGAACTGATGGTGGGCTTGCTGGTCCCACAGCTAGGGGCCACCCCCACCCCCACTGCCAGAGCCTGTGCTCAGCCATTTCTAAGCAAGTCAGAGCCAGTACAGAGGGAAGGGGTCTTGCAGCACCAGACACGGGTTTGATCCCCGGCTCCCCATCAAGTCCTCTAAGCCCTGCCAGGAGTGATCCCTGAGTGCACAGGGGGGAACCCTGGGCACTGGATGTGGCCCAAAAGGAAAAACGAAAACAGAGGCTGGAGTGATAAGTACAGCGGGGAGGGCGTCTGCCTTGCAGGCGGCTGACCCAAGTTGAATCCCCAGCATCCCATGTGGTCCCCTGAGCACAGAGCCAGGAGTAACCTCTGAGCAGTGCCAGGTATGATCCCCAAACAAAGCAAAACAAAACAAAAAGTAATTTTTTCTTTTGAGGTCACACCTGGCGATGCTCAGGGGTTACTCCTGGCTCTGCACTCAGGAATTACTCCTGGCAGTGCTTGGGGGACCATACGGGATGCTGGGAATCGAACCTAGGTCAGCCGCGTGCAAGGCAAACGCCCTACCCGCTGTGCTATCGCTCCAGCCCCACAACAAAAAGTAATTGAAAAAGCTAAATAATAATAATAATAAATATTATGCTCCAGTGTCCTTCATGCCAGCTCACAACACTCCCTGTGCGCACCCACAGAGGGGATCATAAGCAGGATTTTGCACCCGGGCCTCCCCTCTCCCCACGGCTGGAGGCAGTCACAGGGGAAGGGACCGGAACCCACCGGGCCTGGGGTTCTGGGAAAACATCCTCGTGGATCTGCATCATGAGGTCCCCGCCGGGCGCAAACTCGGTCACAAAGCAGGCGTGGCCGGGGGTCTGGAAGCAGGCCAGGAGGGAGAGCAAGAACGGGTGCCCCGCACGGCCCACGGCCTCCAGGATGCGCTTCTCACTGTACAGGCTGCAGGGGAGCCAAGGCTGTCGCGGGAAGGAAACCCCCACCGCCCCCCAGTAGCCCCCGGATGACGGGGGTCAGCAGGACAGGCCAGACCCTGGTATCGCATCCTCAGGTCCTGCCAGAGAATCCCTTGGAGGTTCCCAAGCAGGAGGCAGGAGGGGCGCGCAGAGGCGACCCCCAGGCCCCACCACCTTCACCCCCATCCCACAGATGTGGACAGTGAGGCACAGCCGAGAGCAGATCCCCTATCCCGGGGCTCAGGAGAAGCTGGGCTGGCGGGGCCCCTCCCCAAGCTCCCAACTCTGTACCTCTCGACTTCGTCCCGACTCAGCACCTCCTGTTTCTTCAGTGCCTTGATGGCATAATACTTCCCTGTTGCCTTGAACTGGACCAGGAGCACCTGTGGGCAGAGAGCAGCAGGCGTTGGGGGGGCCAGGCGTGACGCAGGGGGCAGAGAGTCGGGCGTGACACAGGGCACCACACCCCACGCTACCTTCCCAAAGTGTCCGCGGCCCAGCACGGCCACGCAGCGGAAGTCCTGAAGCCGCGGAGCTTTCCTATGGGGAAGAGAGGGGCCGTCACCCCCAGGGTCACCCACCTTCCATGTCCCACCAGGGCTGCAGGAAGCGCCCAGCCCTCACCTCCTGGCGTCGGGCCGGAGCCCAACGACAGGTTCTGGGTTTTAGGTTGTTTCTTTTTTTTTTTTTTCCTTCTTTTTGGGTCACACCTGGCGATGCTCAGGGGTTACTCCTGGCTCTGCATTCAGGAACCACTCCTGGCGGTGCTCAGGGGGCCATCGGGGATGCTGGGAATTGAACCCGTCTTTTCTGTATTTTTGTTTTTGGCTTAGTATTTTTTTTTTCGTATTTGTTTTTTGGGGACCTCAGCCAGTGATGCTCAGGGTGAATCCTGCCTCTGCACTCAGGACTCACTCCTGGCAGTGCCTGGGGGGAGAGAGGGTCATATGTGGTGCCAGGGATTGAACCTGGGCAAATCCACTGCATGCTGTATGGTTTTTGGTTTTTTTGTTGTTGGTCTTCTTTGTGGGTTTTTTTGGTTTCGTTTTATTTTTTCGGATCACACCTCAATGCTCGGGCTAGAGCGACAGCACAGCGGTATGGCGTTTGCCTTGCACACGGCCGACCCAGCCAATCCAGGTTCGAGTCCTCTGCCACTCTCGGAGAGTCCGGCAAGCTACCGAGAGTATCTTGCCCGCATGACAAAGCCTGGCCAGCTACCCATGACGTATTCGATATGCCAAACACAGTAACAACAAGTCTCACAATGGAGACGTTACTGGGCCCGCTGGAGCAAATCGATAAACAACGGGAGGACAGTGACAGTGACCTCAATGCTCAGGGCTGACTCTGGGCTCTGCACTCAGGACGCACTCCTGGCAGTGCTTGGGGTGGGGGTCATAAGGGGTGCTGGATGTTGAACCCAGACTGGCCGTGTGCGACGCTGAAACCCTCCCTGCTGTCCTACTGCTCTGATCACAACAAACAGGTTCTATAGGAGAGAGCACACCCAGGAGAGGGAGGAAGGACGGAGGGACACAAGGAACAGGGACGAAAGTCTCACACCCAGGGTGGGGGCACTCACCTGGAGCCGGAAGCGGGGGGACGCTGCCCAGGCCGGGGCCTGGCCTCCATGTGGGGCCTCTTGGTGCGCTGTGAGGACAGGGGTGGAGGCCAGATTGCGGGCTGCCTCCCCCTGTGCCTCCAGCCCTCCCCCCGCTCAGTACCCCCCCCACTCACCGGCGTCTCCTCCAGGGTGGACTCCCTGGGCAGGTAAAGGCGCGGGGGCTTCGGCGGGGGCCTGAGCCCCTCTTCTCCCACGGGGGGCTGCTTGGCCGGGGGGCGACTGCGGGCGAGACTCAGGGTCGGGAAAGGCAGACGGAGCCACTGGGGGTCGGGTGCGTGGCCCAGGGCAGGGCCCGAGCGGGTGGATTCTCCTCACCTGGGAGGCGTGGGGTCCGGAGCCCCCAGGCGTGCGGCTGGGGCTCGGGGGCACCCTTTCGGGGGGCTGATAGTGCTGGGGCCGCTGCAGGGAGGCAGCAAGGTCATGACCAGGCGCCCCCAGGCTGCCATACTGAGGTTCATCTGGGAGGCCCTGGTGAAGTCACGACCTGGGCCAAAGCGGGACTCAGTGCAAGGCCCTGGTGGCAACTGCCCCGAGCCCGGCCCCACGCCCCACGCTCCGGGACACCCCGCCCCAGCCCCACGCCCCACCGCCCCGGCCCCCTGCCCTGCTCCCCACACACCTCTGCGTTTGGAGAAAATGCGCTTTTGCCTCTGCAGCCGGGGTGTCCTCTCGATAACAGGGTCACAGAAGTTCACCTGGGGGGGTGCGGGGGGTGAGGATCAGCTTCTCCCGTCCCACCTGCTTCCTGCAGGCATGCAGAAACCCCCACAACCCTTCCCTGGGGCCCCAGCGAAAACTGAGGTCCAAGCTGATGGGGCTCAAGCCACCTCCCAGGGACCCATGGGGAAACTGAGGCCAGAGTCTGGACAGGGTGGGTGCCCTGTGTACAGGGAGGGGAATCCTGCTTGCTTAGGGGGACCTTGGGCTTGGGGGTCTCCTGCAGTGGTGCTGAGGCTTCTTCCCCCTGCTCAGTGCCGGGGACTCCCCTCCTGGTGGTGGCGGGGACTGAGCCGCGGGGCCTGTCTCGGATCCGGAACCCTGCACTCCCCAAGCATGCCAGGGCTAGGGGGCAGGTTCGAGGCGCACCCAGAGGAAGACCCAGCCCTGCGGCAGGAGGTTGAGGCTGAGGTGGTGGCAGCCATTGTCCAGGAAGTCCTCGAGCCGCAGGAAGGTCAGGCCACACAGCTGCCGCCAGTCCCGCCAGCGCACCCCGATCTCCAGCTCCCGGGCCTGCGGGGGAGGGGGTATGCGTGAGCGCAGGTCCCAGGCTGTTGGCCACCACCGTGGGGACACCCGGGGACAGCTCACCCGCTCCAGGGGCACAGTGAAGGTCTGCTCCCAGGCCTTCCTGCACATGCGCCCCCAGCCCGTCTGGCCTACGACGCGATTGTCCACTTTCAGCACGGCCTGCACCTCGCCTGCGGGCCAGAGCTGGCGTCAGGGGACAGGAGAGTGGCCGGACCCCGCGCCCGGACAGCCCTGACTTACAAGAAAGCTCCTTCTGGCCACGAGGCTGCTTGGCCCGGCCCCGAAGCCAGCCAGGGGAGGGACTCCCGGCCAGAGCAGCCACCGGGGACCGTCCGGGGACATCGCTCAGCAAGTGCTCACAGCCCAGCAGATGCACCCGCAGCGTGCCTGGGGGTGAAAGGAGATGTGTCAGGGACAGTCGACCGCTGATCCCATCACCTGGGCCCCCGCAGGGATGCCCTCCCCAGAGGCCAGAGGCCACTGCCTGCGTTAGCGTTGGGGGCCATCTGCCCTCAGAAGCTTCTGTGTGCTGGGCGAGGCTGTCCTGTCCTCCCTGTGGCCTCAGGTGGCCCATGTCCAGCTACTCTGAGCCCCTCTGCCCACCAGGTGGGTTCATCTCGAGACTCAAGTTCATCCCTCAAAGTCTCTGTCCCCCCCACCCCCAATTCAGAAAGACTCTAGAAGCTTCTGAGGTCATAAACTTATCCTGAGAGCACCATTTTGGGAGTTCAGGCTCTCGGGTGACACACGAGTCTTCCAGACCCAAGGAGATGACCATAAGAGGACCAGGTCCAGGAATCACTGTGTATAGGGCCTGGAGTGATAGCAAGGCAGGGAGGGTGCTGGCCTCGCACATGGCCGACCTGGGTTTGATCCCCAGCACCCCATATGGCCCCTGTTCACCGCCAGGAGTAATTCCTGAGGGCAGAGCCAGGAGTAACCCCTGAGCATTGCCGGTGTGGCCACAAAACAAAATCACTGTCACTGTCACTGTCCTCCTGTTCGTCTATTTGCTCGAGCGGGCCCAGTAACGTCTCCATTGTGAGACTTGTTATTACTGTGTTTGGCATATGAATACATCACGGGGAGCTTGCCAGGCTTTGCCGTGCGGGCGAGATACTCTAGGTAGCTTGCTAGGCTCTCCGAGAGGGGCGGAGGAATCAAACCCGGCTCGGCCGGGCTGGTTGTGCGCAGGGCAAACGCCCTACCGCTGTGCTCCAGCCCACAAAACAAAATAAAAGTTAAAAAAAAAAAAAGAATTGTGGTGTGTAGGTAGAAAACAAGGCTAGCCGCAAGTGGCTGAATTTTAGACAGGCCGACTTCTCCAACTTGTCAACTTGGCCAATATTCATGGGCCCTTCAAGGCCAAGCTCAACACCATCTCCCCCAAGGCCATCCCTGGATTCCCCGAGGCGGCGCCAGGCCCTGCACTTCCCCCTCTCAGCTCTGCCCCCAGTGGGCTGAGGCCTGTACGCCCCCCACCCACCACCCCACCTCTGAGAAGGACACTCTGGGTCTCCTTCAGCAACAGTTTTGGAGCCGGAGTGAGAGCACAGTGGGGAGGGCATTCGCCTTGCACGCAGCCAACCTGGGTTCTCCCCTCCGCATCCCATATGGTCCCCTGAGCACTGCCAGGAGTGATCCCTGAGCACAGAGCCAGGAGTAAGCCCTGAGCACTGCTGGGTCTGGGTGTGGTCCAAAAACATCAATAAGGAAAAGGTGAGAAAGAAAAAGCTTAGGTCTAGAGCTCTGATTCAGCCCTGGCACCAAGCACCTGCACCAAGGGCAACATCAGGGGGTGGCCCCCAAACTAACACCCCTCTCCTTGTCATCCTCATTGCCCTGGCTTCCTGGATAAGCTCCTGCATGCACTCACAGATGACCCCATTTTACAGGCAGAGAAACTGAGGCTGCAAGAGACATGTTAGGTGCCCAGGAGGCCGCAGCCAGAGCAGAAGCTTCTCTGGTGGGGCTGAGCCATAGCACTGCAGGTAGGGCATGTGCCTTGCACGTGGCGGACCTGGGTTCGATTCCCAGCATCCCATAGGGTCCCCCTGAGCACCGCCAGGAGTAACTCCTGAGTGCAGAGCCAGGAGGAACCCCTGAGCATCGCCAGGGGTGACCCAAAAAGCAAAAAAAAAAAAAAAAAAAAAAGAAGCTTCTCCCATGTTCTACCCTGTGTTTCAGGGTGTGCCCCAGCTCTGTAGTGGGGGAGGGAAGAGAGCGGGGGATTCCCAGCTACCTGTCATGGCGGTGGGCTTTATGAGTGTCCCAGAAGGCTGGGGGTTCCCAGACGCAGGGGTCCGCAGCTCCTGGGCCACTTTGGCCCGTAGAGGGTGGGCAGGAGGCAGCATGTCCAGCAGCCGGTCCAGGGCCAGACACAGAAGGTCCAGTTTCTGGGAGGACTCCTGGAGCTGGGCCTGAGCCTGCAGGGGCAAGGGTGGGGGCATAGGGTGCTGGGAGGGGGCTGAGGGCTCTGATGGGGGCGTGGGGTGCCAGGAGGGGCTGAGGGCACTGGTGGGGGCGCAGGGCGCTGGGAGGGGGCTGAGGGCAGCAGCTCAGGACACCTGGGGACCCTCCGAGAGGTTCATGGTCCATGGTCCTAGTTCTTAGTGCACCCCCACAGCAGGGATGCGCTGTGTCCTCTGACCTCGGCCAGCGCCTTCCGGTCCTGCGGGCGCCGCCCCCCAAGCAGTTTCACCACATTCTTGGCCCCCTCGGCCACAGCAGCCTCCACGTGCCGGCGGTACCGCAGCTCCTCCACGCGCAGCTCCAGCCCTGGAAGGGGGGCGTCAGGGGAGGGCCTGAGCCGGCCCTGCCCCCCTCATCCCCCATCACTCTGCTCCCCCGCATCCCACCTGGCTCCTGGGACCCGGGCGCCTGCAGGTGGCTGATCTTCATCCTCAGCAGAGTCACCTTGAGCTGGCTGTCTCGCAGCATCTGCTGGACGGCGGCCAGGAGCTTCTTCTCCTACGCGGGGACGACACAGGCCCCGTCGGAGCAGGGAAACACCAGAGCCTCGCTCAGAGGACCAGGACCTGGAGCCAGGCCTCCACCATCAGACCCACAGGGAGCTGGTTACCACTGGCTTTCCTAGTTATGCTACATCTCCTAGGGTGGCCTCCCCCTTACCAGGGCTGCGCCCTGCACCTCGTTGCAAGCTGGGCCTCGGCCTGGGCTCCCTCACAGACGGTGCAGTGCCTTCCTGCAGGCCCAGGGCTGTGCAGGGCTCCCCGCGAGGTTGGCGCAGGGTTGACACTGAGAGACTGGAGCCACAGTACCTCGGGGAGGGCGCTTGCCTTGCACGTGGCCAACCCAGGTTCGACCCCCAGCATCCCACATGATCCCCCCTGTGAGCACCGCCAGGGGTAATTCCTGAGTGCAGGGCCAGGAATAACTCCTGAGCACCGCCAGGTGTGGCCCAAAAAAGCAAAACCCGAAGAAAACCATCACTGTGCCTAAGGTCCATGCCAGGCTGGCCTAACTAGTGTCCGGGGCTGTTATAGCACTTGCAGGTGTGAGGCTGTGGGTTCAATCCCCACCCAGTTCCAAAGAAAAGAGAGAGAAAGAAAAAAAAAGGGAAGAGGGAGGGGGCGGGGCAGCATCTCCCCAGCAACCTGAGCGCCCAATCGCTCCGTCCGCCCACGCGGCCTACCTTGGGGCTGCCGCTGGCATAGGTGTGGGTCATGTTCTTGGCCCCCTGCTCCACCTGCAATTCGACCTGCAGCTGTCTCTGAAGCGCCTCCAGGAGCCGGGCCCTCGGCTGCTCAGGGGGCGTCGGGTGCCCCGAGACCTCGGGTTCTGCACACACAGAGCACGGGGCCCATGAGCACCCGCCTCAGAAGCCCCGCTCTGCTGGCCGCGCCGGGCTGCCTAAGGGGTCTGAGAGGCAGGGCAGGCCCCGCGCGCCCCCCTCACCAGCTGGGCTGGGCTCGGGCATCAGGACGCTGGCATGCAGTCCCTGAAGCTCTTGCTGCAGCTGCTCCAGCCGCTGGTTAGAGACCCGGAGGAGCTGCTGCACGTGGCCCAGCTGGCGGCGGTCGGTGGCCACCCGCCGCAGGTTCTCCACACCCTCCTTGATCTTCAGCTCCTTCTGGATGGCCCGGCGGATCACCTCCTTCTCGTCCTTCGGGGGCCGCTGCCGCCCACCGGGCTGTGGATAAGAGCGAAGTCAGCGGGGGGACCCGCACACACAGGGCACAAGAACTGGGTGGAGGGTGGTCGGAGCGACAGCACAGCGGGGAGGGCGTTTGCCTTGCAGGCGGCCGACCCGGGTTCAATCCCCCGGCATCCCATATGGTCCCCCCAGCACTGCCAGGAGTAATTCCTGAGTGCAGAGCCAGGAGTAACCCCTGGGCATCGCTGGGTGTGACCCCCCCCCCAAAAAAATTAAACAAGAACCTGATGGAGGCCCACGGCGGTGTGGCCACCAGAGTGGGTGTCTGTCCCCAGGGTGTGCTGCCGGCCGGGGTCTGCAGGGGTCTGCAGGAGCTCGGTCTGGGGCCGGCGGCACAGCATTGGTCAGGCAGGTGTGAGGGCCTGAGTTCGATCCCCCACACTGCCAGGTGGAACCCTGAGGTCCCTGAGCACTGTCAGGTGCGGCACCATCAGCAGAAGAAATGAGGGCCAGGGAGATGGCTCAAGGCCCGACAGGTGGAGCCCTGGTTCAAACCCTGAGCACGGCCAGGAGGGAACCCTGAGCATTGAGCCAGTAGCAGCCCGCCAAGCACTGCTGGGTGGGTGTGGCCCCCCCTCCAACTGAAAAACCCAACAAGAGACTGCCCTGTCCAACCTCAGGGGGTAGGAGTGCTGGGCACCCCATCTGTAGGCGAGGAAACCGAGGTTCTGAGAGGTAAAGAAACCCGCCCAACGGAGCCGAGGTAGCCTCCCAGAAACGCTTGGTGGAAGAGAAGTGGAGGGACCAGACTAAATCCCAGGTTTAGAAAGAGACTGGGAGCAGGGCGGGGGGCCAGCAGGGTGGGCAAAGCCGAGGGGGGGAGGGGGGCTGGGATTTGGGGGTGTGGAGGGAGGGGCCGGGAGGCCGATCGTTCCTGGGAGGATGGAGACTCTCAGCACTCGGACCTCGGGGCAGGTTGGAGAAAAGGAAGAGCAAAAGTTTCCACGGCCGAGTCTATAGCGGCCAAAGCTGACATCAGCCCCGGATGGCCCGGGTCACCCCTGACCCTCCGGGTCTGCTGGGGTCTGGGCAGGCCCCCACCTTACCTGTCTGCTCTCCATGTCCTGAGCCCAACGGCAGGGGTGGCTGCGCCGGACTCAGGGACCACCCCCCCCCCGCCCCACGCCCCACGCTGGCCTGCGCCCTGCGGGGGCAGGGGCGGGCCTCAGGAAATCCTTTGAGGGCCCAGGCGAGAGGACCAGAGCCAAGGCCCGAGCAAACAAAGATCCCTTGGAACCGGGGCCCGGCCCTGGGGTCCTGAGTCACCCGCGCCGCTGCGGGGCGGAGGTTCACAGGAAACTGGAAAAAGCGCACCAGGCCGGCGGGAACGGGGAGTGGGGGGGTGGGGAGCACCTCCGGAGGAAGAGGGGGGGCCGACGCGCCGCGCTTTGGGGACCGGCTGGAGTGGCCGGGGTGGGGACGCCCCACGAGCCTCCTCGAGGGCACCTCGGCCTGGGGCGCTCCCGTCCGTCCTGCCCCCCGCGGGCTGGGTCCCTGCCATGTCCACACCCCTCTTCTCCCTCCAGGCTCGGCTGCTGGGCGTGGACGGCCGCCGGGTGGGGGGGCGGATAAGGGGGGCCCCCCACCCCGCATTGCGCGGGGCTGCAGCCCGTCTCGCTGCCTCCCTCCCCGACCGCGGGCGGGGAGTCTCGGCCCGGCCGCGCGCACCCATTGTCGGCCGTGGCGCCCCCAGCCTCGGGCACTTGAAGGAACGCTGCTGGGTGCACCCCAAGATTCCCGCGGGGGGCGCCGAGCTGCGTCCTCCCCGGGGGCGTCCAACGCTGCCCGCGAGCGGCGCGCGCCGGGAAGGGCCCCCGTCCCCCAGCTGCGCGCCCCGACCAGGCCTCGCCGGCGAACCCCTAACGGCTCGAGCGTCCCACCTGGAAGAACCGATTTGGGAAGGTGGGGGTGGGGCGGGGCACCCTGGGGTTCCCGCCTGCCGAAAGAGACGCGCTTAGATGGAGGGCCGGCCTGATGGGGGCTCCGTCGGGGGGTGCGGGGCGTGCGCGCCGCGCTCAGCAGCCGGGACCCGCGCCGGGACGGCGCCCCCCAGTCCCCCGACCCCCGGGCGCCTTCACCTGCCGCGGCGCCCCCGCCTGCATGCTCGGCCGCTCGCCCCGCCGCCGGGACTGTCCAACGCGGGACGGCGCGGGGCGCGGGGCGGGCGCCCCCTCCCGGCCGCGTGGGGCTGCGCGCGGGCCCCACGGGGAGCGCCCGGCCCGCGCCCCGCGCCCCGCGCCCCGCGCCCGGACAGCGACCGGAAGGCGCGATCCCGGGGCCCGGCCGGACAGCGCCGCCTGCCGGCCCCCTCCCCCGGCCCGCCCCACCGGGCTCCCGCGCCGCCCGGGCCCCCGAGAAAGGGAGGGAAACGGGCCGCCGGCCCGGCTCGGACTCACTCGAACACACGCGCCGCGGCGCCCGGGTCGGAGTCGCAGGACGCGGACACCTCGCAGCCCCGCTCGGCCCGACTGGCGCGTTCCGGCTCATCCGGACCCGCCGGGCCTCGGCCCTCCGGCCAGAACAAAAGATACATTTGCACCTTGACAAAAGGCATTTCCTGGGCCAGCCTCCTACCGGGAGGGAGGTGGATGCGGCGCCGGGGTCTGGCCGGACCTGTGGCCTTGCTGGCCCGGGTCGAGGCCACCCGGTGCGGAGCGCAGGGGCTTGGTGGCGGCCCGAGGGGCTGGCCGGTGCTCTGACCCCTGCAAACCGAGCGAGCGCCCCGTGCACCAACCGCCTCCCTTTCCCTCCCGCTCAACTGGGAAAAAGTACAACTGAGAAGTCGTGGAGAATCCCACTCTGCCCTAAAAGGAGAAATCAACCAAGGGGAATGAACGATTCACGAGGCAACTTGGTTCCATGGGGACGTGCCGAGTTGTGAGACTTTTTATGGGGGGTGGGGGTGGGGGCACACCGGTGGTGCTCAGGGAGCACTCCCGGCAAGGTTGGGGGTTTCCGGGATGAAATCCAGGCGCCCCTACCCCCGCTGTGACTCTTTTATAAACACATCAGCCCTGTTGAGGGCTGGATAAAAACAAGGTCCGGGCACTCAGAGGTTCCCTGAAGTGGGATTATCCAGCTGCTCGGGCTGAACGTTAAACCTAATGCAAAATGAAAAGGACTGTTTTGACTTTAGATCAGAAAGGGTTGAGATTAAAACATGAATGGGCTGGTGAAGGCATCGGTGTTGAAACACTGTATCTGAAAGCCAATCACGAAATAACTTTGTGATTTCAAGGTGACTACAGAAAAGAGTAAAAAAAGGAATCCAGGGACCCTGAACACAGTACAGAGAGCACTAGGGTTCTATCAGGAGTTAGCCCCCTGAGCAGAGCCAGGAGTAAACTCTGAGCACCGCTGAGAGTGGCCCAACAGAATTTTTGCCGCTCAATTCCTGGCACCCCATATGGTCCTCTGAGCTCGACAGGAGTGATCCCAAATCCAGGCGTCAGTTCAGACTCAAGAACAAAAAAAAAAAAAAATAAAATGAAACATGAATGAAGGGCTGCATGGCTCAAAGGTCTGAGCGTCTGAAAGCAGGAAGTGTGGGCTGAATTCCCATAGGGAGCTGAGGTGAAAATAACCCCTGAGCACTGCCGGGTGTAGCCCCAAAACATGAACTGGCTAAGCTGCCCCTTTTGGGAGGGAGGATATCTACTTGCCATCCTAATCACCAACCACACCTAGCAACAGGAAGTTGGGGGTTGGAGCGATAGCACAGCGGGTGGGACATTTGCCTTGCATGTGGCTGACCTGGGTTCAATTCCCAGCATCCCATAGGGTCCCCTGAGCACTGCCAGAAGTAATTCCTGAGTGCAGAGCAAGAAATAACCCCTGAGCAATGCCGAGTGTGACCCAAAAAGCAAACAAACAAACAAAAAAAACAGGAAGTTGAATTATGTGGATGAGCCAAAATTGGCTTTCTGGGTCTTGTAGCTTAGCACTTCCCGGTCTAAAGGTGGGTCACAAGACTGCACCCACCTTTTCTAACGACCCCAGACAGGGCCAACCACAGTAAAACCAAGCCTGTGCTCAGGGATGCACGAGTCCACAGTCCATGGTCAGCGAGCAGGCAGTGCAAACCGGCTGGAGCTGACAGTTTGAAACTGCGACAAGAAGAATCTGAGCAGACTTGAAGCTTCCTAGCAACTAAAAAGGAAACACTTCCACTGAACACTTTCCCTGTCCAGACTCTAACCATCAGTTCAAGTGTTCTTACTATGAATTCGCCTTCACTGATAGCTTCGGGGGTACACGAGGGAGGGAGGGAGGGGGAGCCTCCCCAGTAATGCCGGGGGTCAAACCAATGGCTGTGTCTGCTAGGCATGTGCTTAGCCCCAGGGAGGCCATCACTTCAGCCCCTTGGCTAGTCTGAATATAAAGCTTGTCAGCACTTCATGAGATTGGCATATCGACTGTCAGTTCCACTCTGGTATCACAGGTGGAGCAGATGCTTGCCATGTGCTGACCTGTCTGACCCCAGTACATGTCACCATGGCTCCCCAAAGTCCTCATGGTTCTTCCTATGCACTACAGTTCTCTCCTGCAGACCTATTAAAGCTAAATGGCTTGGGCCAGAGTGATGGTACATGTGGCCGAGCCAGGTTCGATCTCCGGCATCCCATATAGTCCTCTGAGCATCAACAGGCGTGATTCCTGAGCGCAGAACCAGGAGTAGCCCTTGAGCCGGGTGACCCAAAAAAGAAAAGAAAAAAAATTTTTTGTTTTTGCTTTTTGGGTCACACCTGGCAATGCACAGGGGTTATTCCTGGCTCTGCACTCAGGAATTACTCCCAGTGGTGCTCAGGGGACCATATGGGATGCTGGGAATCAACTCAGGTTGGCCGCGTGCAAGGCAAACACCCTACCCGCTGTGCTATTGCTCCAGCCCCAGAAAAAAAAATCTTAATGGCTTTTTTTTTGGGGGGTGGCAAGGGGGAAGAGGGCCACACAGCAGTGCTCAGAGGACAATGTAGTCCCAGCAACTGGACAGGGTTCAACTGCAACGCAAGGTAAGCCCTGTACTACCACCCACCCCATACATTTTGTTTCTGTGAACACTTAAAAGGGAACAGTCAGTCACTCTACTGGGTGGGGAACGCTACCTGAAATGCTAGCCCTTTCAGTACTGGGATGACTTTCTGAGCATCGGAAAGATGCTCAATGCTTTCATCCTTCATTATCAGGAAGGGCTCAGTATAAAATCTGACTTAAAACAGGGACCAAGGAAGAGAGGTCAAAGGGCTAGGCTTTTTTTTTTTTTTTTTGCTTTTTGGGTCACACTTGGCGTTGCACAAGGATTACTCCTGGCACTGCTTGAGGGACCATATGGGATGCTGGGAATCGAACCTCGGTCGGCCGTGTGCAAGGCAAACGCCCTACCTGCTGTGCTATCACTCCAAGACCTAGCATTCTTGACATGTGGGAGACCTGGGCTGGAGCCCAGCTGATGACTCCCTGGGCCCCTCCAGAACTCCTAGAACTAACAAGGCCAAGAACTCAAACCAAGCTCCCCAACGCACCCTTGGAAAACAGAGACTACAAGCTGGCCTGCTCCTCAAACCTGAGTTCTCCCTTCCAACTGCCTCACTGGCCTATTTCCACTCTGGAGAACCTGTGTTCTGTCTCAAACATGTATTTTTCCCTCTATCCCCTCACATATTTCTAAACAATGTTAAATGAAAATTTGCTTCACAAGAGGAAAAAAAAAAAGAGGGGCCAAATCGATAGATAGTGGGAAGGGCTTTCACCTGCATGTGGCTGACCTGGGTTCGATCCCTGGCATCCTGTATGGTCCTGAGCATCTCCAGGAGTAATCCCTGCAATATCAGAGTGTGACCCAAAAAAGCCAAAAAAAGGAAAAAGAAAAACCCCAGGCAAGATTCTCTATGCAGCAGCCAACGAAGCTATTAAGCTACAATGGGAGACTGGGATGGGGTGCCTGCCTTGCCTCCAACATCAGTATGGCTATCCTTGCCTCCTCCTATCACCCCGGCACCAGAAGAGATCTCAGAGAACTGCCAGAGCCGTGGCCCAAAACAAAAGCCGGGGTGGGACATAGCTTTTGGTAATGCTTTCTTCCTAGAAAAATCAAACTAGGAACTCCTAAGGGGCTGGAGTGATAGCACAGCGGTAGGGCATTTGCCTTGTGTGCAGTCTGGCCTGGCCGAGCCAGGTTTGATTCCTCTGCCCATCTCAGAATCCGGCAAGCTACAGAGAGGATCTCGCCTGCACGGCAAAGCCTGGCAATCTACCCGTGTATTCGATATACCAAACACAGTAACAAGTCTCACAATGGAGACGTTACTGGACCCGCTCAAGCAAACAGATGAACAGGACAATACTACATTGCAATAGGAACTCCAAGCTCCTGACCGCAGACCGGGCCAGCCTGAAGGGAGGGGAGCAGTGTGCAGAGGCCACAACAGCCCTATCCTGCCGGCTAGCTATAGCACCTTGTACATGACCATATTCCCCGAAAAACTTTGACGGAGGAGCCAGCCAGCCAGCCAGGGTTCAGTGTGCATAAGACCTTGCAAAGTCAAATCCCCCCACGCACCTCATGGGCCCCCAAAACTGTCCCAAAAGAGAGCCCTGTCACTCCTTGAACACTACCATGTGTGCCCTAAAGCCTCTAAGTGATGCCCCCAAAACTGCCAATCTGAATCCTAGAAAACATTTTAAAGTATTACCCTTGTTAAATGAGATTTACTACTAGTTCTAGTGACTTAGGCTTTCCAAGTTCTTTCAAGTGTTTAAAATAGAACCCATGAATCCCAACTAAGTTATTTTGCCCATGACCGTGTATCTTAACGTACAAACCTATTTATCTGAGCTACTGACATAATTCCCCAAGCCCTATCAGGTGGCCACCAACAGAAAATCTAGAGGCCAAAAAAACAAAAAAAGAAAATCTATAAGCTAGCTTCTCTGAATTGGGAACCACCAACACTTAAACAAGGCGAATGACCCCAGTCAAAAATCTTCATGTTCTTTTATTGGAGCAAGAGTCCTGGCTGCATACAGCGATGCATTCACTAGACAGAGGCCCGCACAAAGAACGCCTACGCAGAAGACAGCTCCGTGTTACAACTTTGCCTAC